AGTATTAATTCAAAAATTTACATAAGTTTTATTTATTTACTTTCATTATTTTAAGTACAATATCTAACGTTATTTACGAAATATTTTTTTTTGTTTTTATCAATATTTTTATTTTATTTATTTTTTCTTATTTTTCATAATACATACTAGCGAATTATTTAGTTTTACTCCTTACATGCTTGTACTTATGTACCTATTATTTTCAGTATTGCATATTTACCTATCGTTCGCGTATAACCTAAGGAACAGATCAAGATATTTCGTTTTGGTTACATACATAGTTGCATTTGTTTTTTTTTTCTTTCTTTTGTGTATAATGTACAAATGTACGCAAAGGATGTAGGTATGGATGTGTGAGTGTACGTGGAGATCGCATGTGAATGTGGGAGGGAGAGTATACATATATGTTTGTGTTTGGTGGTGTTAAGCATTTCGGTAAGACATTTTTTTTTTTAATTCATATGAATAAATTTGTTTTTATGTACAAATATTCATACTAGTTAAAATAATATCTCTAAATATTTAAAAACCAAATAAAAAGTTAACAAAATCATAAAAGATATATGTACGATCACATATACATATGTATCTAATAAAGGGTGGTCCTTAAAATATCAACACCAACAGGGGTATCCCTTTATATTATTGTATGTACAAAATCATTAATACGCAAAAATTTTAAAACACTAAGAAATATTTTAGGGGTGGACGCCAGAGTTTAAAATTTACGTTTTTTATTGCAAAAATTTTGAATTTTACCAGCTATTACTCAGCGAGCTTATGAATTTGTATTAGGATTGTTCAAGTTTACTAGAAAGTCGACTTCGGACTTTTCGATCGACTTTGTAGAGTTGACTTTAAAAAACGACTGACTGACGAACAAACTTCAAATTTTTTCGAGTTTTTAATAAAAAAAAAATGTATTAAGAATACTCTGCATTTAACTTGTACATGTCTATACATATAATAAAATTGATAACGGCCACTGTCTTCACATTATAGATATTAAAGAAAAATGAATAGGGTGGTCTTTATTAAATCAACCATTTAAGAATTTTTGTCTGTCTATCTGTATGTTTGTACGCGCATCACTCGAAAACTAATGCACGAAATTGAATGCGTTTTTCACCGATGTATCACTAGATGTCCAACTTAAATTATAGAAGGGAAAAACATTTTAGAGTTGCCACCTGTTTGCATATTGCCGTTTAAGTAAATTTATAAGATAAAGTAAATGTTACACAATGGCTGTAGAAATAAAGAGCTTTAAGCAGGCTTACAGCAGAAAATAATTTTGTGGAGGTTGCCACATGTTTCAAAATTTTAATTTAATTTAATTCACAAGATAAAAACAAAAATATTGCAATATGGATAGCAAATTGAAGAGGTTTAGGAAAGTTTATTTAGGGCATTGCCCTTGTACTAAATAAAAGAAAATCCATTTATTTCAAATGCTGGTAGCCCCATTTATTTGAAGGGGTTAGAATCAAAATCTCTGATTAAATTAAATCTGAAATATTTTTGAGATAATTAAGGGTAAAATTGATTACTTATTGCAAATTCTGGGTAAATGTATTTGAAATGATTCTTGTCTAAATGAATGCAGTTTAGTTAACTAATTCAAAGAATGTTTACTCTTTGACACAAAATAAACGCTGTATTTAAGTATACAAATATGGGTATAACTTATATTTTCAAAAAATGTCACTTAGCCCCTTATGATTCCAAAAATTTTGTGGATACCCCATACAAAATTTAGATGAGGATATGATTAAGGACCACCCTATTGTACATATATTCCGCGAAGCTTTGAGTTTGAACCCAGGATCCATACGTTCATAACCACATGTGATTTTTCATCTACCCTACATACAAACTATCAGGGCTTACTTATGTAGGTAATTTCAAACTGAATATTCGGAATCGAAATCGGGAACATAGATCAGGTAAAGTTTGCACTGAATTAAGTCGTAAAAAAGGGCATATAGTTTTTCGATCAATATGCCTAGAAAGTGCTACCCCTGGTACTAACCCAACTACATATTTATTTATTTATTTAACTTCAAACACTGCAGAAGGGCTAAGAAAGCCGAAAGGGCCCTTCTTTTATTTCACACAGAAATGAACAAAATATATTTACATACAAATCTTTTGATAAAGAGTTGTATGTTCCTCCACTTGTTCTTCTTTCTCGAGAGTTTGCCGTTATTGCACCAGTAAGGCTTCAAGAGATGACTCATGGTTTAAGTAACCTCAGCCGATTCGAGTTACCTCTAAAGTTGTAATACCAATAGCATAGGACTGGTACAGTAGAACTAACCAATGCCTATTTCCATAAATATTTGTAAAGATGGTCATTATATTGAGAGTCGGGGAGCAGTTTTTTTTGGATAGTGAGAATAGTTATGTCGACTCTCTGACCACATCAGTGTATACATATATACATATTAAAGGAAAGTGTAAGGGAAGTGTTAAGGAGGCAGCGCAGAGCTGCGCTCTAAGGCTCTCAGAGGATAGCGACTCCTAAACTTCTTTCAACCTGGTTTAAAACTACCGTTGATTTTTGGAAATATTTTTGTTGACGGTGTTATCTAGGCATTTCTACCATACAAGATATGTTCGAAAATTTTTGTCATGAAGAAAATGAGCAACACCTTCAACAAAACGAATAGCCGAAAATCTAAAAATTTAACCACAAATCATTAAAAAACAATTACTGCTTTAAGTATTTTAACAAAAACTATATGCATATGAGAATTAAAATAGTCTAAGGTTATGTCACGAGATGTGTGCTGTGTTGGTTGTTGTTTCATTATTTATTTGCTTTTCGAATTTTCTAGGGATTTCCTTTAAACTTTTGTATCGTTTTTTTGTTTTGTCTCTTCTACTTTTTTGGGGACTTCATAATTTATTTGTGCGCTGTTTCATCCACCAAATTTTTGGTTTGTATATGCTTAATCTTTTAATTTCATAAACGGATTCTTATTTCTTATTTATGTAAATTTTTACACATTTCAATATTTACAAGTTATTATGAATCAGTTATTTCCAAACTAACTACATACGTTCGAGTTGATTTTTTTTTTTTTGTTTTTTTTTTATTTACTTATTTCTTTTTTTAATTTTGCGGTAATGTACCTTGTAATGCGTTTCGTGTAAACTTTGCAAGTAAATATGTAGTGATATATGTATGGATGTATGCATATGTTTATGCATAAGTATGTACATATGCGTAAAAGGATTAGAGTGGGCCAATTGGCTGTCAATGCGTTAATGCTTGATATGCTATGAGGTGTACGTAATGTACATGAATCGGTATGTGTGTATGTTAGTCTGACAATGAATATTAATTAGTTGCTAAATAAAAGAAATACAATTTTTATCTATCTATAAACCTGTATGTATGTGAGGTGTGCCTATGTACGAGCGTGTGCTTATGCGCTGCTTGTTCCATACCTTTTTTTTAATTATTTCTTGCATTTTGGTTAAATTGATGAATGTAGTTTGAATGTATGCCTGCTTTCCTATATTCACACTTCAACTTTTGCCATTGTTTACATACACTTTTAAAATTTGCTACCTTCTTTGGCTTCAATGTAAAAATTTTTATTTTTCTGTTGGTGAAAACGTTTGCATTTGCTTCGTTCATATTTAGTTAAATATGTATGTATGTACATTTGCACTAATATGAATGTATGTGTGGGTCTGAATATGTATTATCTACATTCATTCGGAAGGTGTTAAAAATGCCATGCATCGCCTTACTTTAAATTATTTTTATGCTAGTAAGTATGGTGATTTTTGCTAGCTACAGTGTGGTGGTTATGCTTGTGTGTGTGTTTATTAGTTTTGAAAATTAAAATAAAAAAATATTTGCGTTCTTCAAAATACATTACCCCATTTTGCTATTCACATCCGTTAGGAAATTCAGCGAGTCTTGATATATTTTTTATTTCTTATTTATTTGGCCCCTCATCCCTGTTGCTCTTTTTAATATACTACATAAATTTGTTGTGTATGTATGTTAGTGTGATTGATTGTGAGTGTTTAAGCTGCATATTTTCCTATAAATGTGTGTACGTGTACCTACATATATATTTTACTATTTACCCTAGTTTTACCGAATAAAATCATTTCGCTTTAAGCACTAATTAAAAGCTAATTCATTTCATAAGTGACAGTAAAATACGAAAGCTAAAGACAACTTTCTTTGCTTTATTTTCATTTATGCAAATATTTATGTTTGTATGTGTTTATGTATGTAACTGTGTGTACGTATTCATTTATGTTTACATGCATGTGTGTATGTATTTGCTAATCAGTAAAGGAATTTGCCAAAGACGGAAAAGAAAGGCGACCGATCTACTTTGCAAATTTTTTCTTGCTAATTTTTTATTTCTAAAGTACATATATTTAGAGTTTACTGATCTTCTTATTTAGCTTCCGCTGGTGGTTACCCAATACAAAATAGGAGCATCCAAAGATTTTTAGTAGATCGCTACTTTGCGATCCGACAGCGTTTTATACTCATTTTACAAGCCCATAAGGGCGAGCATTGCTTTTGAGATCCTAACATAGGAAAATGGGAGAACTCCTCTCAGCTTCGTTTGACCCCAGAAACGATAAAAAAGGTAGTAATCTTCGCATATTCAAAAGCTAGTTTCTTACCCCAAAAGGATTAACAAGTCGTTGCTTCCTAATTTTTCGATTTTGGTGTTAATCCGTAAATTGTTTACTGGATAGGGCTTGAGAAAAACGAATAACATTTTTTAAGGTCGGAGTTCAAGGATCAGTGAAATCGGCAACATTTTGCGAAAAATTTTATAAAAATAAATTTCATTTCTATTTGGATCATTACATTTTTTAAGTAAATAAGAAGCACGTCATTTTAAAAATTCGACGGTGAATACAAAACATGTTAAACCCTTTGTTCGCAGAATGATTTTTTTTTTATAATGAAGCTTTTGCAATGCCAGCTTGTATTTGACTGTTGAAACGTTCTGCTCTTTACAGCAATGTTGGCCAGAGAAAGCTCTAAGTTTGTGCTAGCCACATATAAATTGTATGTAGAGCTGTTATAAGCTTAGAGCGGCAGCTAACCGCGCGTTTGACAACCCGCTGTATTACGAGAGTCGGGTCGTTTCGAAAATTGCATGTCATTGCCAAAAATTTCGACTCGACCAGTGCATTAAAATGGAATAACTTCGCAGCACTGGATATTTTTCGACCATTTGCGCCGTCTACTTATTTGGTACAAATTAGGCTTACCTACTACTTACGCAATGAGGCTGAATATAAAGTTTACAGGAAGCTTAAAAAAGTTCTACCCACACGATGTGATTTTATAATTGCTAATTTAGAACAGGCTCGTTCAGATAAAGCATCAGCGATGCTCACGAGCGGAGCTTTTCAAAGCTCTCGTTGGATTTCATATGGACGCACACTGAGTAAAAGCTCTCTTTGAGCATCAGTGATCTTCATACATACATCAGTACCGAACAAATCTTTTTAAAGCAGCGATGGGCAGAGAGAGCTTTACTCTGCACGCAAAACAAAATGTATAAAAAACTTGAAAGAGCTTTATAGGCGGGGAAGGCAGTGCCCATCACCGTTTTAAAGCTATCGCATAGATTTTTGACGGGCGGACACGGAGTAAAAGTTCGCTCCGGTCCTCGCTGGTCTGCAGGAAAAAGAGTATAAAAAGCTTTAAAAAGTTCTACGCGCAAGCTTATGAAAATAACATAGTGACGATCAGTAAGTAGCCCAAGTAAAATCTCGCACCGTCTTTTAAAGCTTTGCGTGTGCTTAATATGTATTTTCCTAGAGTAAAAGCTCCCTTTTCTTTTAGAAGCACTCTTCAAACTACTGACTTTTGAATTAAAGCGTACGCGTATTTATGTATGTAGTATGACTGTTTGTGTTTTATGTTTAAAAGCTTCTAACAAATTTTTAATGCATAGATAAAATTATCTTAACAAATTATATATGAAACAAATCTGTATGTATGTATGCAGTTAACAATTTTCTAGAATTTCTTTGTAGGTATGCTTGTTTGTTTTTGTTGTTACAATATCGTTTTGGGCCAAACTTTAACAGAAACAAGGCAGTATCTATGTACATATGTCTTTATATACTTATACATATGTATATACAAATTTATATATTTTTGGTAGAAATATTTTGGCTATGGTTTCGTATAATTCTATGTTTGCATGTATGTATGTATTTAACTAAGTGTTCGTCCCTTGATCATTTGTTTACCTACATATATTGAGAAAATTAACTTTAGCGGAGTTTCTTATGTAGTATGTATGTATGTATGTAGGTATGCATTGTGTTTGCATGTATGTATATTTGTGTATGTATGTATGTATGTATGTATGTTATGCAATTTATCAGCTACAACTATTGCAGTGCCAATCTATTACAATATTATTATTACATATACATATGTAATTGTATGTATGTATGTATGTATGTATATCTACATTGTGTGTATGTACGTATATGTATGTATGTATGTAACTATTTATATCGTTTTAAGTTCAATATTTCCATTTCCTTTAGAAAACTCTAGCTGAACATTTTAATTCCCGATTTTATGTACGAATATGTATGTTTGTATGTATGTATGTATGCAGTTTCTTCATATTTCTATTTGTTTTTTTTTGTTTTTTTACAACGTATGATACAAATGCTGTTCAGGCTGTGTTTTTGCTGCTGTTGCTGCTGCTGTTGCGTACTGATGCTGCAGATCATAAGCCATCGGCATATGCGGTTCACTGGTTGCATAACCGGTATGCTGTTGATACCGTTGGTCAAGCTCATGAGCGGAATAAATTCTCGTAGTCGCTATAGCACATTCCGTTTCATGGCGTGGCATAACCAATGACAATGGCCTGGTTTTGGCTACTATCCTCCCGCGATCGCCCCGACCTGTATCAACTAAATCACAAATTGTTGGTTCTGTTATCGCCCGGACGCGTATGCGCAAATATTCAGCAGCGTCATCAACAACACCACCACCACCACCAATGTCGTCTAAGTCGGCGGCTGTAGCAGCTATGGCAGCATTTTCACTTAAATCTGTATCGATGAATGTGGTTTCTATTAAATCGGTATCGGATGCAGCAGTGAATTGTTGCAACGGTATTGTATCAAAATTATGGTCTAAGTCCGGTGCAGAGAGTGATGGAAATATGGCTTGATGCTATACCCAGATCTGTTCCCTTCGATTACGCAATCGCAATCAAAGCCTTTGCTAGCACCAGTCCTCCTCATCCGAATCGGAGTGTCTTGGGTGAAAGCCACCTTTTGGCTTATAGCCATTTAGAACGGGTGATGGCAGGACTCGCCCCGTTCTGCCCATAGCAAGCGCTTGTTCAAACGATAGCGGCGCTATGTATTCCAGTCTAGAAGAGAAAATACCAGAAATTAGTTATGAAATATGTATTAGTGAGCAATATCTAATGGTATAAGGCTATTGTCACAGAAAAGTAAGGTGCTTCAAGTACATGCATGTACATACAGATTAGGGCATGTCAAAATTTACTTCATTTCCTATTTTAGACTTTCCACCCCTAAATCTCTTTCACTACCTACAATTATTAATCAGCTTCATTGCGAGTATCGTGTCGAGTGCAAATCGTTTATCGAGTGTCCAAGTTAGTCTAATTTACGTCTTACGCGGTGAAGCTGATTGTTGCGCACTTCAGGCTGGGTGAAACTTTTTACAGTACCCACAGATGCTTGAGAAACTTGCCAAATTTGCTGCAAAAGATCACTGGTTTTGCAGGATCGTTTTATTATAGATCAGGATTGTCTAGTTTTGTCTTTTGCGGAGCGCACTTTTAAATTAGTTTACAAAAATGGCTTTGGAGATTTCCAAGATTTGGGAGAGGCAAAGCCAACAATTGCTATGCAAAAAATACTCGAAATTTGGTGGATTTAAGGAGGTGTTGAACGTCTACGAAAATAAGTCCTAAAACCTCCAAGATATAAAAAATCAGACTCTCGTTCCAATATTTCTTAAATACATATAGATATCTGAGATGAAGATTGACCTATCTCAGCTGCCGATTCATAAACGCCCTATCTCAGCACATTTTCAATACATTGTCAAGAGAGATAGGCCATTTTTGAACCGTATTCTGAGATAGGGCGTTCTTCAATCAAATTTTGAGGTAGGGCATTTTCGAAATGGCTGCCAGATAGGTCGTTCTTGCACTCAGGTGTCGATATGTAATACGAAAACAATATCAATTTAAAATCTCTTCGGTGGCAAAAATTGTAGAACTTTACTTTCACATTTTCTTAATTTTACCCTTCAGCCCTCTAAAAGTTTACTTATATATGTTCATATTAGACAATTATTTTTCAAACATTACTCACCTTTCTCTTTCGAAATCCCTTAATCGATCACGCTCCCTCTCATAGAGTTCACGCTCATGATCCCGATATTCATATCGCATATCATAGTCGCGTAAGTGATCTCTATATCGCTCTCGATCGCGATCGCGCTCCCTACTGCTATACAGATCGCGGTACATGGCACGATCCCGCAGCAGATCACGGTGGTGTGGCAAGGAATGAACACTATGAGGTGTCGTGTGATGTGTCTGGATAAGAAGAAATACAACATTAATAAAATTAAGAATGCAATTTAAAAGAAAAACGCAAACTATAAAAGATTCCTTATTGCTTAGCGAAAGAGTAACCATAAAAAGCGTATATTAAAAGTTAATTAGTTTAAAGAAGTAAAAAGGCGGTAAAGTTGTACTAAATAGATCTATTAAGCTAGGGTTAGCTTAATAGACTAAATGACTTTAACTTTAGGCAATTTATGATGTAAAGCACTGTACAGGGTATAGAAGTGTACGAATCTTTGACAACAGATTTCTAAAATAATGAGGCGTATTCTGGTTTTCGTACGAATCGAAAATTTTAATTTTTTGTATAGAAAATGATAGGAAAATTTCATAATTCATATTTCTAAAGAAACTACCGCCTATCAAGTCAATGCCTTCAAATAAAAACCGATTTTTCGCTAAAATTTAAGTGCCGTAAAATATACTCCGCTCTAGAAACCCTTAAATAAATTTGAAAAATATTTACATACGACAATTTACTTACATGTGTTGGACTTGCGTTAAGTTTTGGAAAATTAATATTTGTTGGATTCAGCTGCAGTGTTGATGGTTTACTTGGTGTCGGTGGTAGACGTCGACCCATGCCAGCTCGTCGCGATGCCAGCGTTGGGTAGCTGTACTGTACATGAGTACCACCTGAATTGATGGATGGTAGCGGAACAATCGGTGAATCGGTGAATCGGCGCGCATACAAACACACACACACACAGGAAACATACAAAACAATTTATTAGTAAGTATAAAAGCAATAAAATATAAAAGAAAAAAGAAAAAAAATGTTAAAAGTAGTTTATTTAAAAAGGCTCCTTATTATTATCATTATTACACTGTAGGGACAATGTCAAATTTTGAAATGACAAAAAAAAAACGCCGAGACACGTAGACTTAATTTTGGGCCATAGATAGTTGAACTGCATACCGTTTTTCCAGATCAGATCAGATTATCCAAAGATATTTTCATTTTGATTGAAAAAATATCTAACTTTAACAAAAAAAGTATTGAAAAACAAACACTTTTTTCGTAATTTTTTCTTATTTGTGCTAAATGCCGTTCTGTTGCCAAAAAATTAAGCTACTCACGATGAAAAGCCGTTGATAAAAAAATTCAAACTTTGTATAAATATATCTCGGGAAAATTATCTAATCTAGAAAAAGGGCATAAAGATACGTAATCTACGACTCAAAATTAAGTTTACATGTATCGGCGTTTGTTTGTGTCATTTTAGCGTCCCTACAGCGTGTCAGTGACTTAAGCAGATTATGTAATGTAATGCATATCTGTATGTAGGTATGTAAGTAGTTATGTTGTGTGAAGAAAGAAAACCGAATACGAATTATGACAATTACATAGAATTAAAACATTTAGAGAATGACATGAAAACTTAATTGGTCGATTAATTTTTCAACATTTGTGACATTTTACGAAAATTTCAAATGAAATGTGCAAAAGCGTAAGTATATTTTAGAAATGGTTAAAAATGGGTACATGCATATTGATTATGATATATGTATGTGTGTGTGTGTGTGTTAATGGGTTTGTATGTGCGTGTGCCTACATACGTCTGTGTGTGTGTGTAAGGAGATTTAAAATGTACGATTGCATTTTAATAAAATGATTTAAGTGAAAGCGGCAAGTAATGCATACAATAGTTAAGAAAGGTAAAAAGGTCGCTATAGTGGGCGGAGTAAATTATAGCGGAAGGGAGGAATGCGCGATTTTTGCGTACGGAAGAAGGGAAATTCATTATTTATTAGAAATGGAAAGAAAATGATGAAAGGCAAAGGAAAAAGTCTTTGTTCGCGCAAATCTCGAAACGGACTGAAAGAATTTGGATAATAAAAGTTATGTTTTTAGAAGAAGGACCATCACTACTTCGAATTAACTTTAGCCCAACAGCTATTAAAATATTTAGTATTAAAGCTTCTACAAAAATTAAAATAAAAACAATTTGGATAAACAAAGATGTTTGTCCTTTAATAGAGGTTGTTTGTGCTTAAAATTTGGATTGGACGTCTTTTTGGTAAATATTTTTACTGTAAAAAATTTGCTTATTTGATTAAGCGGGACGAGTTACATTTATTTGAATGATATTTTAATATAACTCGCAAGAAAAGCTTTTTAATATACTGAACTAGAGGTTGCAAATAAAAAAGTCATTTTAAGAGTTTGTTTCTGGAAATATGAGCTTACAATTTTTTCAGGCGAAAGTATGTACTATATAGGGTGATTAAATGTTGATGCAGATCTCTGACAAAAATTATTTCTGATAATGTGTTTTTTTATATTTTTTTCAAACTCTTGGTACTACAGGCTTTGGCACCCTAAGTCATGGATCGATACTCAGTTGAACAGGGCGTGAACGGTGATCGTTATTGTGAAATGATAAATAACTTTGACGATTTGATGAAATATACTCGGACAATATATGTTTTCAAAAGGATGGGGCCACATGCCACGCGGTGCATGAAGCAATCGCTCTATTTGGAACGAAGATTGCAGCAAATATTATCTCACGTAACAACGATGTAAAATTGTCGTCGATAACGTGTGATTTCATACCGCTAGATTTCTTCCTCTGAGGCTATGCGAAAAGTATATGGTCAATATGTCAATAGGCTCGAGACAAATCCAGGGCTGAGGAACAAAATCATTCAAGGCGTAAATGATATATAGCCCGAACGATGACAGAAAGTCATGAACTCCCGAGCAAAAACTATGAACTCAAAAAGTGTCTTATTGAAGTGATTCACTTTCCTTCTTAACTCTAAGAAGTACTACTCTTTGTTCGCAATATTTTCAAAATAGAATCCAAAGGGATTCCTTCGTTTTTACTTTATCCTCCGGCAGTGTATCATGGATCGATTTGTCAATATTTTTCAGAGGAAGTTTATCAAAACGAGTGGTTTAGCTATTACCTTTGCGATTATTTTGCAGACGTGGAATGGCTTGAGATGTGAAAACCATCCATGTGTGTAATTTGTTCAGTAATTAGCGAAATAAGAGTTATAAACAGCCATGAATACTGCGCTCTGTTTGGCCAAGATTCGATTCAAGAGAGATGAAGAAGTTATCAGGTCGCAATGGAAAGTCAAAATATTGTAGTAATTTGAGGTGTAATCAGTATTTATAGTTATGTCTTCAGATTGGTTATAGTGATTGGTTATAATGATGTAGTTAACATTTAAACCAATTCCTTTTTATTTAACTGAATCAGAAGGCTCAGTACTGCATCTCAGGAGTGAAGAATTTCAGTTAGTTCGAAATAAAAATGGTTTGACCAACAAACAAAAAATTATAATTTTCTCAAGTTTAAAAATATTAACACAGAGATGCTATCACACCGAGGACATCATTCAATCCAACATTACCAAACATACACATAGGTATTACACATGTATGTATGTATGCATGTATGTAAACGTTTGTGTACATAAATATGTATGAACTCGTAAGTATCTATGTACTATATACATCAGTGTTATAAATAAGTTAGTGCATTGTTTGTTCTGTTAACTTCTTGTTTTTACCTACTCTATGAGTACATATATATGTACATGTATGTAAGTGTAAGTGCTGGCTGTTAGTATTTAGATTTTTGTATGCACGCATATGACGAACGATCATGTATGTATGTATGCATTATTTCTTTGAAGTTTAATTGACAATTAAAAACATGAGAGACTGTAGACAAAAACGCAACAGATGAGAAGATGCGATGAATGAGAGAACGGTTCTTAAATTATGTTATTTTGTGTTCTTTTCGAGTTATTTAATTATCGGCTTCAATTGGTATTTGTTTAATATTTTTTACTCAATAGATGCATTAATTTAGAAAAATTTTTAATTTTTTTTTTTTGGAATAAAACACATTTGATTTAAATAATTTTTTTTTTGGTTTTATCTTTCGTTTTTTTTTGTACCCATATCAATCCCATAACCAAGTCTATCTCGTTCACGCATCTCCTGTAGTCGAGCGGGACTTGGCGAACGTGATCTTTGACATAGACTTGTTGTCCCATATGTGGGAAAAGGCAGTTCTGTACGCCTACTGTGCGAATAATGGCCACCATAACGAGAAGGCGAAGGCGAACGGGCCGGACTTGTCGATGCTGACCATGAACCTATACAACAACAACAATACACAGGGGTTTTGGTAGTATCAAATCTCATTTCATATCATTTACATACATTCAACAAAATAATAATAATATAAATACATTGGAACATTCGAATCTATGTAGGTATATTAGGGTGGTCCTTAAATATAGGAAGCAAATTTTTACATCAAATTTTCTAAGCCTTAGCGCCTACGCCAATGCTACTATAGTCGAAGATATTTCATATAAATTTTGGTCCCGATTGGAGACGGTTAAAGCGTGTCGCACAGGGGGCAAAGTTCAGATTCTCCTATGAAGACGTCTTAACCGACTCCAATCGGGACCAAAATTTATATTTGATATTCTCGACTCTATTAGCATCGATTTTGAGTATTAAATGAAAAAAAAGTTGTAATTTTTTGAGTCCGGCCTTTGACCCCTTTGCGACACGCTTTAGCCGACTCCAATCGGGACCAAATTTTATACGTAAATTCTGCGACTATGGTAGTATAGATTTTGGTTATTAGATTGAAAAAAATTAATTTTAATTTTTTGAGTCTCCGTAGAGGAATCTGTAGTTTGCCGCTTGTGCGACACCCCTTAACCGTCTCCAATCGGGAACAAAATTTATCTTTGATATCTGTGACCGTGGTATTACCGATTGAGGCGGTGAGATTGAAAAAAATCGTTTATTTGATTTTTTAAGAACCACCCTAATGTATATAGAGAGAAACTATAAAAATACATAACTAAGTAGTAGATATGTATGTACATATGTAGGTATGTAGGCGTTTCTTTGACAGGTGAGATAAATTATCTGTTTGTACAAACGTTTTATTCTTCTAATTTGTGAACAAAAATTCTAAATAATATGCAAGAAAAGTATATGTAGTAAAAGCAGTGTGTCAACTAAAATTACACAAATATGTTTATATGGTCGTGGCTAAAATGAAATTGTGAAATGTTTAATGTGATTAAAGAAATGAGAGAAATCCTTAATGTATATGTAGGTTTGTCTAACTAAATGCCTACACTGAGTTGCGTAAAGCACATTTTTTACCGAAAGAAATTCTAAATATGTACATATGTATGCCTGCATCTAAATTCAAAGAGCAGCTGTGTTTGTGTATAGCGAATGTATGCGTATGACGAATGTGTGCATATGACGTAATGCACGCCATGAACTTACGTTCGATAATGACCAGAAGCTAACTGACTTCGCTGGGAGCAAGCACCAAGCTTCAGCATAAAATCATCTACAAAATCACGTGTCTGTCTCAGGAAGGAAAAACGAGAAACCCGATCGATATTGCTAAGATAGACGGAAAATATGCTTCTAGTGTTTTAGACGGACTCAAAATCCTAAGGCCCAATATTGGCTCGTACCAGTAGCTTATTGCCACTAAGATAGGCACGCGCGTTTGCGCCGGAAAAATGCGCGTTCAACAACGCAATTAAAGCGCGACGTCGGAAAGCTCTAGACGCAGGAGACAATTGGTAACTCAGTCATACGACTCTCACACCTGCACGCGACGAGCACTTATCAACCAACGACACTCGCGAGCAATATCGTCACATTTGTCGTTCCCTGCCGCCGAGGAAGTTATACAACTTTTGGCGAAGCCAAAATAACAACTGAGACAGTAAAGCGTGAGATCCTGACCGATAAGACGAATGCTTGACATTTTTACCAGAAACATAGGTCACCTGCGGAAGGTTTCAAGTCAATTGCGAACTCCTGTTCAAAGAAACACGCTGAAATGTGAGCGATGTCAGGAGCATGTCAAAACTGTGAAGTGAACACATTTGCTACCTACTAAAGGCCATTGAAACCAGTAGAGAAGATGGACCCGAGCTCCCAATCAATGTACCACTCCCTCATTATGGTGAGATATGAATATCAATTTCGAGGCTAAAAGTAACAAAGCCGCTGGAGCTGATGCTGAGCCAGCATTTACTCTTACCTCACGATGATCGGACAATAACCATTGCCCAATACATTTGAATTTCAACCCTATCATATGCTCTAACTACCACGGTATCGCCTCTATAAGGTCCTGTCGAGCTAGCTCCGTTAGAATTGAAAATTACCACTCCGAGCTTTTAGCTTTAAATGAGGTACCAGGCAGGGAGACTTCCTGTTGTGCACGTTTATTAATCTTATGCTTAAAGAAGTATTATAAGCTACAGAACTGAACTGCTTATGTAAAATTTTTTTGTATTACAGTTCAATTTTAGTCATATACCGAGAGCATCGATGACATAGTTGGATAAGGAAGCAATGCGAATGGATGTGGTGGAAAATGAGGACAAGACAAAGTATCTGCTGTCATGAAACAATTAATCAGTGCATTATAAACCTCTGCACTCACGTCACTGTTGGCAGTTATATAAAGTATAGATTTGTTTATTTAGGAACTAGCATAACCACCACCCACCACATTAAACGCAGAATGACTCTTGTCAAGAAGTGTGACAGCTGTGTGAACTGTGTGAGCTTTACAACGATAGTACATTGATAGGTACCTATAGGAAACGGGAGGTTTCCTGATCCTGTATGTCTCTACCTCTTACTAGTGATATATTTAGGCAAAATAGCGAGCTATAACAGAGTGCCTGTTCATATTTAATATTTCCACACTGATATGAGTAGTAATTTGTTATCAAATAAATTTTAAATTCCGAATAATTGTCCTTTCTTTCAGAAAAATACTGGTTTGAAACTTAGACACTTAAGCTCTAGCAGGTTTATACTTACGTATGAACGTATATATGTATGCAATATAAATTTATTCTGACATTATTTGTTTTTGAACTGTATTAACATAAGTGTTCCTACCAAAACGAAATTTAAAAAAAAAAAAGTCACCGATAAGTGTTATTGACCTATTAAGCCTCCTCCTTGAGAAATATATCAAATATTTATTTTTATAGTAGCAAAAGCAATTATGAATTTTTATTTACACATTTGGATTTATTTGGCCTTAGATCGTATTTAAATTAATATTCATTCATATGTATGTATGTGTTTATGTACATAATCGCACAATATTAAAAAAATGCCACAGTAGGTGATTCGCATACTTAAGGTCTCGAGGTTTTGAGAACTGCCATGAACTAAAATTTGCGCCGTCAAAACAAGAACTCCCTCCCGCGTGTATTCGACATTGAGCTTAGCCATAACAAAATATGTGCGCAACGAATACATGGACATAGATATATGTATACGTATGTATGTATGGCAGAGTTAGATTTACTTCCGGGTGATTGTATTTTTTTCAGTAAAGCGACATTAACTTATTTCGGATGTTTCATATTTTAAATTCAATAAAACAATGGGTTGTAAGAACATAGTCCGCCATGAAATATGCGAACTTATTTACAGCGCTACCTTTGTACCTGGAAGCGCGGTTGGCAAAAGTGGTAACGATTAAAATTCACAGGTTACAAAATTGTCGGTAACGTGCAGAATATACCTTTGTATGTGTATGTGAGTGGTTTGCATGTAAGTATGACTGTAAGTACATAGGACTGTGTCAAATAAAATAAATGTTTTGTTTCTTTCGGTCCACATGAAAATTTCGCTGTCGGTCACAAAAAATTATTGTGGCAAAATATTTGCCCTCTATCTCCGACTTTCAGTTAGCGCTCGAAATAATAAAAAGGTTTAATTAAAAAAAAATTATAGTTGACGTTGTCAACGATTTTCTTCCAAACAAAGAGTGTTCGAAAAAATTTAAATTTAGTGGGCTACAAGCTAGTATGTTTTTATATATCATATTTGATTGTTTATTAAAAATCAGTATTACAAATTCGTATTTGTGCAACCGCTAACTGAAAAATGCGAATAGGGGGATGAAATTTCGTATTTTTCGTGAGCTACAACGAAATTTTCATATGGAACCGAAAGAAAAAAATCTGTCGTCTTAATTAACACAGTATAATGTACATACATACATATATGTATATGAATGTATGTATGTTTGGGTAAAGAAATCATTGAAGTGCTAAGCAGAAAAAATATATTTTGCCTAATTTTGCAAATATGTAGGATGGTAGTCTAAGTATCTAATATGTGTGTGTACCTAGGAGTATAATGTATATATGTATGTATGCATGTGTGTCTATATAGGATGTGTAAATTTTCAATTGTGTTTGGGATAATTCGCAATTTGTATAACGTTAAATTAAATCACAAAGGCCTTAACCAACACTTTTACGAAACTTTTTTTTTACAGATTTTGGTAGGATCTATTAAAATACACCTTCTCTCAAAAAAGTGCAAGTGGCAAGATCAAAAACAAAGGAGTTATGCCACTTTATAAAAAGGCCTATCTGCGTTTTTTGATGTATTTCTTTAAGCCACTTCAAAAAAAGGAGGAGATTATCAATTCGTCGGAATATTTTTAATTTTTTTTTGAGGTTTCTTTAAGCAAAGGCGCTACCTCAGAGGTAGTCCCGTACTAATTTTGGTTTAGATCCGTTCATTGGATCATGAAGAAATTCACGTTATTGTTAAATTTTTATATGAGATTGAATAGAAACCGGTTTTGCTTTTTGCTTCTTCTGCAAAATAGAAAATGTGCTGGTTAGGGCCTTTGTGTGAATTAAGATAAAAATAAGTTTATTGTAGGCATGAAAATGACGAGTGAATACTAGGTATATGCATTGGGAGGGTCTGCATGAGTACGTTCAAAACCGTTAGCATGCCTTGCAAAAATTTTACTAAACTCAAAGATGTGCATACATATCAACAAATAAAAACAATTTTTTAAACTAAACAAATAGCAAACACAACTTTGAATTATTTTAATAGTGTTAATGTTTAGATGGAAACATATACAGCTAAATAAATATTTAAAAAATATTTTAGTGATTTGTGTTTACTTTTAATGGACTAACACAGGTCGACCATTTTCGAATGATAAGTTTTTTTTTACTCAAATATGAACTTTTAACGGAGCTCGAGGATAACCTTGTTTGTTGTTTTGCCTTCATCAGGCAATACAATTTCTGAGAATAAAGAATACATATTTAAAAAAAAAATAGCCGACGCGCTGAGATCCTGGCGGGTGCAAACGTATAACATTATCCTAAGCACTAGTTCAGATCTACAACTGGGCGAGTTGATCTCGGCGAGGAACTCAGCGACACCCTATCTCTATTAATGGGGAAGTTTTAGTTATCTTTGAGGACTGCAAAAATCAGTCGGCGGTACTGACGATAGCATCTGCTTGAACTATGTATAGTAGGGCGGGTCAATTTATTTTCGTAATTTGGCAAACTCCAAATTGATTCTAGACGCATGGTTTCTTCGGCAAATTTGCTTATAATTACACGTATAATCCTCCTATGCTATGCCCTAATGTATAGCCAAGCAAGTCAAAAAATATACAATACAATCAATCATTGTATCAATAAATGATGAAAAATGATGTGAAAGCGGTGGAATTGACGAGGTTGGCAGATGGTTTGTTTAGACAAATCTGAAGCAATAGAATTGGGATGCCTTGTTGTAATATGTATTAAATTCCCGACAGAGACCTTTAGCTTGCCTGACTGTCTTCTTAATTTTTGACTTTAACAAAAATAAAGCTTCAGGTCTGCAAAAGTTCAAAATTGTAGGAACTATAAAAGTGCTCTAGGCTTCTCGTAAGCATGCAGGTTCTTGGTTCTTGTAAGCTTTGCTGACGAAATTTTTTTCAAGTATCATAAAGCTTGTAGCTTGGAAACAATACTGCATATAAGTAAATAAAATATAGAAAAATTAATTTACGCTTGGTGAACCTGTGTTAGCCTAATTTAAGAACATATATGTAGATATAAGTAAAGTCTAGGCAAGTATTTAGTAGTCGAAGTGTATCTTTAAATATATTTAACAAAGTGTACATAACTATTTAAATATTAAATTACAAAAAAAAAAAACGAAACAAAAACAAGAAAACAATTTTATAAAAACTATAGCTATGTATGTATTATATTTGTATACCTCTTGGATAACGCGGATGCCCATATCCGTGCCTTGGATGACGGGTCTCCTTGACCATCTCTACAACATTAGATACGGTATCGGAGAACCCAATATCATGATGTATGTATTGATGGCCTCGCCGTCTAGGACTTGGAGATCTGGCCAATGGAGATCCGTTATGTCTGATTTAGTATGATTATTGCAATTATGAATATTTTTTTATTAATTTTTGAATCAATTAAACTCATTAACAGCATACATTTGTTGTATTTTTGTGTATACTTTAGTGAGTTTTTTGTTGTTTTGTTTTGTTTTCGAATTCGAAAATATGTACGTATGTAGTGTAGAAACATAGTATTGTTTTGGTACTCACCTTAAACTCGGCGAACGGCGATGATGACCATTGTGATACGCGTGACCAGGATGTAAATGACCAGCATCGGCACCGGTTAACGATTCCTGAGAAGGATGTCTCGACGCATCCTGCAGTTCCAGCATCTGGCAGAGATCAACACGAAAGCAAACGTTTTATTTAGTAATGTGTTGTTACATAAACAATATTCTACTACAACAGCCGATACAGTAAGTACTTTTGGCAGGAAAGATTTACAAATATGTTACACAATTCAGTAAATAATTAGGTAATTAATTACGTAATTAAGTAAGAGGGGTATACATGTAGTTAAGTATATTTTGTATATTTATATAAATATTACTTTTGACAAACGTTAACGTATACATATATTTTTTATTTTTTTTTAAAGGTTACAAAAAAGTTAAATGCAGGGTAAATATGTTTGTATGATTATAGTTACATATGTATGTAGTACATACATATATACATATATATATATATATATATATTGAACACTTACAAATATAAATATTTGATTCTACTTAAGGCAGTATAAGTAATTTTTCTATTGGTAACTTTTTTTTGTTTTGCATATTTTTTCGCACTAAATTTTGACTAGTTTGGATTGTGACACTATTCACGGCTAGCTCATCTAAAGCTCTGTCCTATATTTATATTTAGTAAAAAAAAATAATCAACAAATAATGATCATCTAAAATCATTTATAAAGGAATAGGTCAAATGAAAACTAAATCAAATCATAGATTTCGAATGCAATTCGACGAAGACAAAATTACACACTAATGCAGGAAAATGCAAGTACACACACACATACATAGATATTGTAGCAAAACAGTTAGATTAGGTGTGCTGAATAGCCGGAGAAATGTGCATGCAGCTAGGTTAGATAGTAAAAAGAGGACTCTAAATAGGATTGGCAAGCATTTGCAGGGCATAAAAAAACTGATGCGTTTGCACTGCTGAACTGAAATTGATTGAGCTTGTGATTGCACGCATTGCATGTGGTATGTTGCATGTGCTGCTTGTATGTGTGTAGCTTGTGGAATGTGGCATGTTGCATATTGCATGTTGGCATGTGACATGTGCTGCTTGTGACATTTTGTGACGCATGTAAATAGGTGTGTGTAAACTTACTTACCACAAATTTTATTAAAAAAAAAAATATTTTAATTTGTATGCATGTATATGCAGTTAGTGCCGCATACACAAACACAACTTAAATCTATCGATGTGCGCATCTGCAAGCTATTCGTGTTTAAATTATCTCATAAAACCGTAAAATTCATACAGTGCCTTTCGAAATTGTGTTACTGTACATTCGGATATTCTATCAATTGTTTCAACGTTTTTTATTAATTTCCTTTCTAGTGTTTTTGGTTTTGGTTTAGTTTATCTTCGAAGAGTTCGACAGTTACTTATGTGCAAGGTTTTCTAATTTTACAATTTTTAATTTTTATTAAATAAATGTGCAATTTAAATTATTCAACTAAGTTGAATATTAATACTAAATGTGAACTTTGAATAATTAAAATAATTTAAATTGCGCTAAGGTCAACTTTACAAGAATCTCTAAAAGATGCTTACAAATTTTAAAAGTTTCTCGTAAATTTAAGGGATTATACGCTGTTGGAATTAAAAATATATATATATTTTTTTCGTTCAACATATACAGTGGCGGCCACTTGAATTGCGCCCTCTTTTGATACTCAGTATCGACAGTTCTCCTTTTGTTTATTTAATATGCATACATTTTTTTATAAAAAATAAGGCGGCATATTTTATAGGAAAAACCAGCTAAATCCGGTTTAAAAATTGTATAATAACTCTACAAAATTTACAAAAACATTTCACTTTTATAAAAGAGTTTTTATTCTACTTTTTTGCAGCTTTAGTACAAAAAGCACACATTTCAAGGGGTTAAAAACTAAAATTTTATTGTCGGGGGTGTTGCGGAATTTCTTTCATCTAAAGATAGATTTCCTCTTTTTAGAAGAAATTGTCCAGCAATCTCGACAATTGAAATTTTCTAAACTCAATAATTAAATGTTTTTTCAAAAATATGTAATTTTGAAAAAAAAAAATGAATTCAGAAAAAGCTTTAAAATCGGATTTACATGTCTTTTGTTTTTTAGAATATGCTATATTTAAAAAAAATGACCGGCACTGTAAATGAAACGAAATTTTCATAGAGTACGTATATGTATGTATTCTATGAATATTTAACTTCTATGTGAAAACAGCCTTAACAATTTTGAATGCGTTTTTCTCCAAAGTTGCGTTTTCAAAGTGCGTAAGAAAAATTCTCGACAAAAGCAATTTTGTTAGAACAGAACGCACCAATAAAAACGAATTTCAGGAAAAATGCTTTACAAAAAAGTCGCATTTGTGCATCTGCTAACAACGTATAACCCCTTTAGGCCAAAGGCCATGAAATTCGTTCCCAAATTACATGAAAAAATTTTAAGAAGTTGTCTTTTCCATAGAATATGTTCACCACACAGATTCCTTATGCCAGTATATATATGTACATATATACACAATGGTTTTGAAGCTTAGAAATGGAAAAGTAATCTTTATTTCAAAGAATTCCTACACGCAGAGGGTGGATGGCTGCTCTGCGTACGGTAAGAGGCTTTAAGCTCTGTGCTATGGTACGATTAATTAATGTGCGCATAGAAAAAAAGCATAGACCGAAGACCACCTAATAAAAAAGAGCCAAAGTTAAAAGATATCTCTATCGTTTTTCTTCAAAATGAAAGCCTTCTTATTTTTAGTGGGAGGCGTCGAGGGTCTGCAGGTGGGCTAATCTCATATTTTTTCAATATCAGAAGGTCTGTCTGGTTTTTTGCTCTCATTGAGCAGACGGGACTGCAGACAACTTGTTGGACTGCTTACTGGTCACTTCAAGTTGCACAAACACCTGGCATGAGGCATTGGGCCGCGATGTGTTGAGGTTTATTCATAAATAGAGCAGATTTAAGAGGCAACACGAAAACAGTACAATGGACGGTATGTTGTCTGAGAGCTATTTCTTAAAAAGGCGTAATTTTAAATGAGTTCAAGAACACATCATTTAAAGTTAATAACGAGTTTATTCAACACGCATTCTGCAAAATTTGATTTTTAAAAGACATTCTTGTATACATATAAAATCTATACGAATTTTTAAATAGAAGTTTTTTAGTTTTTCGCCCCTTAGAGACCTTTCATAGAGACCACTTTCCTGTTTCTAGAGGTCATATATTTTCTCTGTGTGGGAACAAACTAAAATGCGTTAACCCTACTTTAGTAACCTCTCTGACAAAAAAGTTTGGAGAAAAAAAAATAAATTCCCCCAAAAAGAACGGTGTATCCGCCTTAACTAATGCTATACTTCTGTTGGATATCAAAGCTAATAAATAAATAAAGTTTATCGACAGTAAACTGAATTGCTATATACACCGCTCAAAATTCAGTACCGACTTAAGAAACGTTTATTAAAAGTAAAAAAAAAATCTATTTCATATCGAATGCCGTCCTACAAAAACGAACCTACAATAACTTCACTAACATTTATTTACATAATTTTTTTAAATACCTAATTGACAATAGATAGTTGAAATTTTTTTCACTTTCACTAAAACAACATTGCATTCTACAAGTAGAAACTCACTTACTTTTATATGTATAGTATATACAGAATTGTTTATAAATACAATACCATTGAGTCATGGCCGAAACAAAAATTAGTACATAGTTACACCTAAACATGACAACAACTGTACACTAGGCGTAAACTCGTATAAATTAATACGAAAATTCTTTTACTGGCACGTACATACATATATGTACATATACACGTGTATATATTTATGTATAATTGGGTATGCACTTAATATATAAATATGTATACACAATAGAAAGAGAGAGAGATTGCACACTTATTCATAACATACATACAAATACACAGTACGAGTATAGTTTAGTAAAAATTGGAATTTCTTTTACCACTGGAAGTGTGTCAAACTTATTCACCTTTTTGTTTCTGAAATTATTTAGAATTAAAAGAAACAAGAGTATGTATTTGATCATATACAGAGTAAGTATGTATATCGATATCGATAGTATTTGTTTGTTAGTATGCACAAATGTATGGACATAAGCGATGCAGTGAGAGATGCTTAAATGTAAATTGAATGACAAATTGAAAATATGGTTATTCATGTAATTAGTAAAAATCATGCGTAGGATTTAAGAAATGATAGCTAATGAGTCATAAAGTAAATATGATGAATGAGATAAAACGAATCAACGATGTAGATCTCGAGTAAGAGAAATTGCTCATCTTGATGGCCTGCCTATGATCTAAACATTTTTAAAGAGAATATAACTATCGTGAAATCCTTTGCACAGAGACCGGCCTAATTTTTTATAAGATTTGAAGAAGTTCGTCACTTTTTATCGAATTTTTGCTTCCGAGGTAATATTTATATTCGTTCCGAGGAAAATATTTTTATTTATTTTATTCTCTTTATATTTTTATAGCAATTCTAAAAAAAATATATATATATATTCCCAATATAAAATGTATGGAAATTTAAAAAAAAACTTAACAATTCTGGGGTTCAAGCACGAAAACTCAAAAAAGTTGATTTTCCTACGCATTTTTGACCACCCTAGTGTACGTATGTTTGTGGAAAATTGTTGAATAATTTCTGAAACTAATCAACATTCTTTCATTTCAACAGCATATCAGAGTGAACGTTGTATGTATTTTAAATAAAATGAGGTGCACGACATAAGGACTAAAGAAAAAGTTATACCAATTTTGTATATCAACAACAGTTCCACCATATTTTGTTGTGGATGCGAGTTGATGAACTACTAAAAAATTATTGATCAAAAAAGGTATTTTGTATGCCCACCAAGCGTAACTTTTTTCGCCAAAAGCCATCACCGAAACCAAGAAAAGAAAAAATAAATATTACGGGCAATTCAGATCATCAACTTTTTTTTTGCTTAAGAAGTGGTTTACCGTTGTAATCGTACCAGCACAAGAGACGCGGAACTTTCAGGCCGCCTAAAAGTGATCGTCATACCAGAAATCGTGCCTAAAAGCCATGGAACAATAATGGAGGTTTGAAGAGTGAGAATTCCAAGTATTTATATAACAATTTACCTGAATATTTGTACGTGAAAAAAGAGATACACTCAGAAAAGTGTTTAGTTACGTCAACTAAATACGTTTCTCATGATTTGGTATTAGTTACGTTAGTTGGTGGCATTTACCAAATCTAGTGCTGAGCGAAATATATTTAGCTGGCTCTTTTCGCAGTGTAATGGCGCGCGATGCAATTTCTCACACTCCACTATTCAACCACAATCCAGACCAGTTTTTGCGCCGCTTCGAAACTGTAGATAAAATATGACTTCATCATAATACTCCAGCAACTCTAGAACAGCCAAACCAACTAACTTCTCCGGTGAATGTTAGCTAGGCCAAGATGGGCTGACAAGAGAAAGTCCGAGACCGGTACTAAATATGTATCCGGGAACCCTCGTAGTTTATCAACTTAGCAAAATATTTTTGTCTTGGATTTTAATTTCCGAAAAATCAGAGTTTCTAAAAGCTTCGTGTACTTCGGCACGCGCGTAGGTCTCGTGTACTGTATAATATGCAAATATTTACTTTTTGTGGCTTTGAATTAAATTATGAATTCATATTCAAAATCAGGGTTGCATTTTCCCTATTTAAATAGCCCACGTTAGGCAAATACAGTATAAACATTTGATCTCTTTTCAATCATCAATCGTCACTTAAATTGTTGATCTGAAATCGGTCCCAATGTATCAGTGACAAATTCTTATCACAGTTTTTAATACGGAAAAATATATGAACTAAGTTTAAATTTGTCAGTAAAAAAAAAAATGTTGTCACCAATATAGAGTTGGGTTATAAAACTCTTAAATTCATTCACAGTCGAACCATTTATTATAAAGAACTCGCCTACCGAGGAACTGTTACCATTTATCAGGAAAGCAAATAGTATCTAAATTTTTCAGGCTTACTTATAAGGCCTTGTCTAACTGGTGCTATAATCACTTGGAACTGTTTTGCTGTCCGGCGAAACAAACAAACAAATATTTGCATAACCGAAAAATTGTATGTTACAAGCTTGGCCTGTGGACTCAAAGATCTTATTCTTGGTGCGTATATGAATGCGTCAATAATGAATGAATGATGAATGGAATGCGCGAATGTAGAATTTCAAAAATGTGTTATACATGTGTGTACATATGTATGTATGTTTGTATGTATGTATATATGTTTCGATGTATTCAAATTAAAAGCGCACATTTAATTTAAACACATACATTATTGAATAGAGAGAGAGAGAGATTAATTTACCTAACTGAACGTTTTTTGACCGTTGTCCGGCGTGCCAGTGATGCCAAACTGTGATCGGCATCACCGTTTAGGTGATGATGATTTATGTTAGCTAATAAATGCGTTTGTGAGTTGGCGCCACCATCGCCATTTGCCTCATAGCTAATGGAGCCCTGACGCGATCCGCCTTTGTCGAGCGCCGCCATATCGAGCAGGCAGTTGAAGAATGATTGTTTCTGTTTTTTGGGGGTTTTGTTTCAATTGTTTTTTTTTTGTTTTCATTTTCAATTTAGAATTTTGGCGAAACGATACAATCAAGTTTCATATTCATAGAGTTTAATTGTTGTTGTTTTGATTTAGTGCAGATTGTGTTCCGAATTTGTTGAGTGTTACCAATAGCAAAGGTTTTTAGTTCAATTTTTACGATTCCAGGGGTGATCAGTAGGAAAAATGGATAATTTGTATGTATGTTTTTGGTTTTTTTTTGTTAATTTTGTACAGTGCATTTCCGGTGGCGTATTCCATGCGATTTCGGGCAGCATTGCAGGTTGGTTGTTTGGTTGATTTACAAGTATTTGCACATTTTGTACATATTTTACAATTTTGTTAATTTTTTTTTTGATTGTTTTTGAGATTGTGATGCGTAATTATAAAAAGAGAATTTTGCGTTGTGACGTGTGTAGGTGAACAGTTATTCGTAAAATTGGTGAAGTAGCAATAAGAAAAGTATTTTTTATTTATTATTTGGTTTATTTTACATGATTAGTAGCACCAAAAAAAAAAATAATAATAATAAAAAATAGATGAAAAATTTTTAAGTTGCATTCAACAAATAATAAGTTATTAGCTTAAATGTATGTACGTAAGTAGGTATGTATGCATATGTATATAGAGTAAAAGTGAAAATTGATTATGATATAAGCTCGTATAGCAATATTTAAAGGTTCATATTCATAAGAAATAGTATATATTTCAAACTTACTATATATTACAGTTTAATAAGATGGTGAAAATCTATTTGAATGTGGTTCACGCTCTACGCATTACCGATCGAGCCGAAATTGTTTTGAATTTTGTTTTTTTTTTTTTTTTAGAATTTTCAGCAAGCAATTTTTTACTAGACTTTTGTTTTAAATAAACTATTTTATTTATAAATGCAGTTTTATTTATATGTTCTAATTACATAGGTTTAGTTAATAGTTTCGGGTTATTCACTAAACCTTAGAGTGAAAAAAAACATGCTAAGAGCACTAGAGAACGATTCACAAATTTGACTGAACTATTTTCACGTGTTCATCAGACAAACAATGTGAGTTTTCAAGAAAAATATAAAATTTTAAGGAACTTTGGACTAAGTGCATGCCGAAACTTAAATGGAATAAGTGAAATAAAAAATAATAAACTTTTTTTTACATGCTACCAAAATCAAATCGGCCGCAGATTTTCAATGATAAAATTTTAAACAAAAAATTTCTTAAAAAAAAACTAAATCTAACTCTAAATATAGGACATATGTATTTATTTTTTTTACTCAATTCCTTGCGCTGCTACACACTGAGATCGCGAATTGTTTGCCAAATCGTTTTGACCGTACCATACTATATATTTTCATATGAATTTCGCACCTATCTAGTTTAACATATAATTTATTGGTCTAATTAGCTAAATGTTGATTTTATTTACTGCTTTAATTATTGTTCGTTAAGTTAAAAAAAAAAATCGTATACATAGAAAATATGAGTAAAGGTAAAATTTTTAATGGGAATTATATATGTATTTCCAAACACTATGTATTAACGAATAGACCATAGCAATTTCTACAGGGCATGAATTTATAAAAAAGTTGTGTACTAAATAACTTAATCTTTATTTCAATCACTTATTATTAATAAATTGTGCCTCAATGGTGCATTGAAATAAATAGAATAACTAATGATAAGTGCGAGGGGTTTTTATTGTAAAGATGTACATATGTATAAGGGTGCTTTTTTCGTGACTTTTTTTCACTCCCAACTCGAAATTTTGTGGAAAATACCTAAAAAAATTTTAAGCACTTAATATTAATACTCACTCCGCATTGCCTCAATTTCAAAGCCGAATATCTGAAAAATATCGTTGTTAGAAATTTGGTGTTCCGGAACTTTTTTGTTGGGTTTTTAGTGACCCCTACTACCTCGCTGGTGGGAGTTAGAGCTACGCAGCAATGGGCACTTACGTATGTGAGCATTCAATTCTAAAGAAACCCTATCATTGACCATAAAATGCCTCTGAGCTGTAGAATTTTAAAGAAAAAATTTTTAGTTTACGTGTATTTGAAATGGGAAATCTTTGCACGCCTTGGTCGAGCAGCTCCAAATTTCCGCTAATTTTTTAAGTATTTTCCACAAAATTTCGAGGTGGGAGTGAAAAAAAAATAGTTGGGAAAAAGCACCCTAATACGTATGTATATTCTTGTTTTATGTCTTTTCGTTTTACGTGTGTCACTAAATTCAAACCGTGTGTTACTTTACTTTCAACGTTACTGTGGCCTTACTACTGCTAGAAGAAGCATAATAATAGGACTTTTTAGTTTGTGCTTTTTCCTCCTACATATATATGTGTGTATTCCTTCAGAAGGCAACTTCGCGAGTAAAGCTCCCAAACAACACTGCATTTGGTGGATGTTGGGGCTGAGGCTACTCAAGACAATGGACCTTATGAATAAAAACTAAGCATTTGCTTTTTCTGAAAATTTCAGACCTTCTACTCGATTTATTTAAATAAATTTATAAAATGTTGAAATTTTAAGTAAAAGCGATTGCTTAGTTTTTATTCATAAGAGTCAATAGCTAGGAAGGTGATCCTGTAAGCTATCTCAAAATATAAGAAAATCATAGATGTGGCTAGTAGAAGATAAACAACCTCAAGGTAGCAGCACTATCAGATTCTTACAACAATGTTAATCTCCGGGTTGAGACGGAGCCGTACCAGTTATGCGCCAAAGATAATAACCCCTACCTAACGCTTATTTACATCCTCCTCCACAAATGCCAAAGCCAAGGAGGGTGGTACAACTAGACACGAAACTGTATAACAGTGAAAACTTTCGAGTTCCATCGCTCAATGGCGTAAATTTTAAATTGTCAAAAATGTCCAAGTTTTTGACAGTTATTCTCAACTCTAGGCGCTCCTGCAAATGAACTAATGCAGAGCGAAGAAAGAAAGAGCTACATTTATTTCCACCTTAAACATATTGGTGTGGTGGTAGTTGCAAAGGATATAACTACAAGCATGACTATGGAAAACTGGACTTTGGACTTTTATTTTATTTGAAATAAAATAATCGGTCAACCCGAACTTTTATTTTTTTTTTGTCCTCTAATAACAGTTAAACTTGACCAAATATTTTTAAGGCTATTTCAGTCGTCTTTCATTTGATAACAAATTTTTTCTATTTGTATAACCGATTTGTTTACTATTAGGAAAGGTCTTTTATTTGGCCAAGTTTAACTGTTATTACTGAAATATAAAGAAAGTCCGGATTTTTCAGTTATTATTGGACTTTTTCTCAAAAAGTTCGATAAATGAAAAGAATCCAGGATTCTTGTCCAGGAGGTCCTCGGATCAAAGGAACATAGATAACTTTCTTGTACGACAATATTTTTCACCGAACATCGAAAAAAACTATTATTTTCGGTCCCTGCTTCATAGAGACGGTAATTAAATCGCAGATATGCCCGCCAGTAAATGTCCTGCTCAAAGATTTATTAGAACTGAACCATTTATCGGTCTTCGCCGAACTTAATCATTATTATTATTTTAGGTTGAAGAAGAATTTGAAACATTGCGAGAACTAGGGGATTACAGAAAGTTACAAGTCAGTCAAAGCCCTCATTAGTTTCCAAATTTTTAACTAAAAAAAACGCTTATACAAAGCACGTGTGTCTGTGTGTCTAGGTAGTAAAAAAACTAAAATGTATAATTAAAATTAATACATCCTTATTTAAATATTTCTAAGTCTCTATATAAATTATTTTAAAATATTTAATATTTGTTCAAACATGTGCATTTACAGGTGCGGCGCTAGCTCAAATTCCAACGCAAAATTTATCGACATTTGCCAATTCAAAAAAAAACTTTTATACACATAATTTGGATTGCGAACAAAAACTTTGTCGTCGTCAAAAATTAATTTCTTAGCCAATGGATATATGTATGTATGTATATGTGTGGTTATCTGTTTAAAAAAAAAAATTTGTACATTTTGCGTTGAAATGAATCAAAGGACTCAATTATAGTTATAAGGAAATAGCTAGTTAGAAAATTATTTCAATGAAACAAACTGGAAAAAATGTTCAAGTATGTACAAGACTTATGGAAAAATATTATTATTTCATTACATACAGATGTGTATAGTATTTATGTATCTACATAAGTATATGGAGGCTCGAGCAAAATCACCACACTCATACAATCATTATGTAGGTAGGGGAGTTCTCTGTTGTTTAATAGGAAAATAGGCCACACTTCAATGTGTTGTTGTTAGCATTCGTATTTGAGAAAAAAAATAGTTCAAATGAAATTCATTAAGAAGCATTTTAAAGTAAGAAGCAGAGCAGAATCTAGCCATATGTATGTATGTAGGAATATATTAAAATTAACTGTGTACACATTAGAGGCTTGAGGTGAAAAAGGGGGAAGTTGCGTTATTTACTATTTATTTATAAGACATCGATTGAGCTTTGGTTGCTGGCAAATTTATGTATGCATGTAGGTACATATGTATGTATGTAAGTAAGTAAATTCGGGTAGGTATGTATATGAAGTATATCAGCAAAACGGGTAAGTTTATGCTAAACGCAATACATATGTATTTATGCCTTTATTTATACATATATGCATGTATGCAGCAATATTTTAAGTAAGTATTTAGAAGAAAAAAGTATATTTTCAAAAAGATTATCGAGTATGTAAGTATGTATGTAGTTAAGTGGGGAGTAAGTCATAATAGGAATACATATATACACGTTAGTTAGTCTAGCAAAATGCATAGCTCTAGGTATTTTTTATCTTTTTTGTATTTGAAAAGTAATGGTACTTGAAAAAGACCATTGGACAATGATATAGGTACCGGCTGATCGTCGGCTGTCGGACTAGGCATACGTTCATCGTCTGTTGTGTGGCGCTTTCTCCGCTGAGGCCATATATACGAATTTTGCCAGCATGTTTTACGTGTAGAGGCATATACATATGCACAGTGCAGTCGAGAAGTTTTGGAATTTTGAGCGATAGTGTTTTGCAATTTTCATTTCGATATTTCGATTGTTTCATTCGTTTTGACGCGATAAACATATGTGAAATGTTTGTGATAAAAGAACACACAAAATAGTTTGCAATTAATTCAACGCTCAACTTGTACGGGGTAATCAACGAAAATATGTATTTATGAAACTCTACAATACGCTAGTAAAAATGTGAGACTTGAAAAATATTATAATTTTTTTCTTTGGCAATTTCTTTCATTCTTCAGATCAGTTTGGATAATTGGAGTGCCTTCAAATACATTAAAATTAAAGGAGTAGTCCAAAAATATTTTCACCTTTTTCAAATCCCCATTTTTACTCGAATTAAAACTTTGTGCATTCCAAAGTACAGTTGTCAAATTAATTTGCTATGGTCATTAAAAATTAACGTACATTTAAGTAATTAAAATAATAACTTAATTAATTTAGTTAAGTATCTGCAACATTATACAAACAAAAAAAAAATAACGACGACGAATTCCTACTATTACAGAACAATAAATAACAACTCTTAAATATATTTCAATATGTATGTATAACGTAAACATTTTTTAGATCTCCAAAAATATTTAGACATTTAATTTTTTTAGTATTTTGCTTCAACTTTAAATATTAAACTTCATACGGAGTTGGAATTATAAACTTTTAACTAAAAGATGCATATTTGTTGTTGTATATTTATGTATATACCTCCTTCCAATTCTGCATTTTTTTAAAACGTATTGTTTTACACATTTTACATACAAACAAGTGAGAAGAAATGATTTGCATTACAAACTTATCGGCAATAATTCTGCTATATTTATTTAGTTGTTTTTTTTTTCGATTTTGATTTTATTTTAGAAAAACTTTCTAAATTTAAATTTGTGCTTGAATATATTTTTTAATATAATTTGAGTATATGTTTAGTCACTACCCAGGGATAGAGTACCTACAGTGATTGGCAAACGTAAACTGGTGACTTATACATTTGTATAAAGATCGCTAAGTGTTGCTTACGAATTTTTTGTTAGCTGAAGTCGTGCTTTTTGAATTTCAATTTCAATCAATATTAACAGAGACTCGTTGTAATTGTACACACTATAATTTATGAATTTTGCAAAAAAATATGGTGTAGGCTTTTAAAGTCAAAATATGAGAAAGCACTTTTTTGTACACTCCTTTTAGGAATTCCAAAGAAAGTTGAAATTTTATAAAAAAAAATTACATTCAAAAAACAAAAACTTTTTTGAACTTTCTCACTATAAAAAACTATACCTTTTTAAACACTGGGTCTTCTAACCTAAAAGAGTGTCTTTCTTTCTCTGTTCAATATACTCAATTGCTATTGCCATCACCATTAACAGAGGTATGGGTCGACGTTTGCAAAAATGCTTACTTCCATTTTCTTAGGGTAATACTTAACTACATCCAACTATCGGCATATATTTATGTATGTATGTAGATTTTCCTTTAGGTACATATATTCCCAGGTCTTGGAGTGTCATGAAGGTGGGTTTTTATACTGAGGACCGGCAAAATTTCAAAAAAATCCATCTATATTTTGCTTTGCGCTTCAAGATGATCCAAAAATTAGGATACCTATGAAAAGATCGATCGACATGTACATACACACGTAGGACGGGAGCTGCTTTCCCCGAAGAAGCCGTCGCCTCTCGGAAGGCAATGGAAAACAACGGAGTGTACTATTTTTGTCACAAAAAAACTTCTCATAAAATCTATTTGCCGTTCGGAACTGGCGATAAATCGTAGCTGATTACATTTGTGTAACAAGATAAGGACACACGCCACAAATTGAAGGAGAAGCTCAGCCAGCAATTAGCAATAAGGTATTCATGATCTTACACAGGCTTTTTATGTACAGTAGCAAAGCAAGTATTCTATGAGCATTGGGCTCGCTCTAATAGCGGTGACCATGTCAGCTGACATGACCTATCCTATGTGATTTACGTGTTAACGAAAATTCACCATCGCACAAGGGTGACGTTATCGTTGCTTCTCTCTTTATTCCAACGTCAAATTAGTAAGACGGAAACCGTCATCTCACGTAGATACACTACGCAGCTCTTTAGTCAATTTGATGAATTCGCCTGGCGCCTTCTGATTGCCTGAAACCTCGGTTCAAAGAAAAAAAACCGTTTTAATGAACCAATCCAAAGGTGAAAAAACTGTGTGCGCTACTGAAACGAAGCGACCACATTTTTTATCTCGCTCACTTTCCTGCTTGACATAACCAGGTCTTTCTGGCCCATTGGAATTCACGCTGTGAGGCTAAATACCATACAGAGTAGTTCTCAGTGTATATGCTGCTTGGTGGACGAAAAAGTGGACGCATTTCAATTTCTATTCCTAAACTGCCAAGTTTTTGAAATACTGCGATCAAAACAACTATAATCGCACTTTTTACATAGCCCGTAGCCAATGCTTGCCGCTGTGAAACTTCGAACCCAAACCTGGCCTTACTACGTGCCCTTAAGATCTTAAGCGTATGTAGTGAGAGCCATTTAAAAGCCACAAAATCATACTATAAAATAAGGCGAATGAAGGTAAATATTTATGTAGTTAACTTTACGGTTGTTGATAGTAGTTTGACTTTAAAGAATTTAAGATTCAAATAGTAGTATGTCGCGCTTATACCGACTACTGCCATGAGGCTACTGGTACTTGTAAATGTCACCCCCTGGGTACTTGGATAGTCGCAAGTGTAAGCCCATATTGCAGATTCTGCTTTATTAATAGGAAAACTTTGACTTTATAAATATTTCGATGTTATTAACCATTGAAAAAATATTTAAGAAAAAGCTGGCGCCTACGAGCCGAACACCACATCTTCATAATTTATGTATTTTAAATTGAAATTCCAAGAGCACGCACTTTCAGCTTAAGTGATATGTATATTATTTTTTACATGTTTCAGTTACCTAAAAATATAAATTTTGTTTTTCCTACACAATAAATAAAAAAAGTAATTTTAAATTAAAATCATATAAAATATGCATGTAAAAACCGAATGGCTTAAGATTGACCTCCAATTGCTTATATATTGTATCTACCATTTTTGTGATGCTAAATATTTTACAGTTTTATGCACTATGAATTCATATTTACACTTATGTATGTATGTATATAGAGCTAAAAAGGCCTCAAATTCTTAACTCATACAATGTTTTTAATTGTTCAATTGACAATTGAAATTCACATATTTTAATATGAATGTGTATGCATATGCATACCTTTTTTATATATTCCAATAAATAAGCCAATTTATTCTTACATCACTTATGTTTAATTGTATATGTATATAAAATTGCAATGCAAAAACTTACCGGCATGCCAGAATCAATTTGTCCAAATCGCGTCGTACGCCACGACTCCAATATCAAGAGACCGGCGTACACTTTACCAACCGACAATTTGCCCTTATTCAGTTGGTCTATGGGTGGTACAAGCAAATCCAACATTTTCTTCGCTTGCAAAGGCCATATATTCGTTATGGTTTCCCTAAGTTCCGAATCCGCTTGATCCATTTCCTCCGCTAAAAGTACAAGGAGGCGGAAGGAATAGGGCATAATTAAATCAATTGCTTTTATGTGGTTTTTAATGTCCAGTGTTTTTTTTTTGTTTGTGCTAGTTCTATTTATTTGGCATTTGTGGCATTCGACTTACCAGATCGCATCTTTATACTCAGATTTTCGCGTATCAACGCAAACAGCGTCGTTGTAAATTGTACTCTCATTTCATCATCCAAAGGCATATTCATACGTATCAGCTTCTTGTAGGCGAGGCGATTGGGACATTTGTTACCGAACCCCAACGGAGGATCCATATTTTTCAACATATCATACATTTCCGTATAATGTATTCTACCACTAGGATTTTTTCGTTTGTTCACAGGGGTTTTTTGGAATTTTCATGTGATTTTCCAATTTGAAAAACGATTTGTATTGTTTCAGATTTTTGTTGGTTTTTTTTCGATTTTTGTTAAAAGCACATATGTAAATAAGTAAGAAAATTAGTTAATTTCTTGGAAGTTTTCAATTATGTTGTGGTACATACACACAACGACACACAAAAATACACGAATAGGACAAAATTTACCAAAAAAGCAATAAATTACGATTAGCTAGTGAGCAGAACAAAATTTGCAGAAGAATATTAGCCAAATTTATAAGAATAAATATGTATGTAAACTACAAAGCGTGGAACGAAAATGGAAATTTACTATATACACATAAAAAATATTAAAGCAAAAGGCGATACGATTTTTCGTTGAAAATAGTTTTTGCTTTGTTTTTGCGTTACAGCTATGGGAAAAGCTTGAAAGACGTTTAAATACAACAAGTAAATAAAAGAAGCTATAGCGACTTTCTCCAAGAAATCGCAAAAGGAATGGCAAAAAGTGAAACTTCATCGTCTTCACAAATTGTTATTTATGGTTTAACAACCTTTAGATCGGTGGTGGGCATCAGTTTGCTCGCGGGCAAAGCTCTCTCAAGCTTTGTATATACATATTTAGTAGAGAAAGTTTGAATGAGCTTTGTCCGCGAGCAGGCCGGTGCCCACCACCGCTTTAGATACTAGCAGTATTTAAGGATTTTAAAGCCTTCTCTAGGAATTTTATTTTTTTTTTTCTAAAGCTTCGTCGATAAGCTATATAAAGTTATCGATATATGTATGTATATTTAAGCCTTGAGCAGCAGCTGCGAAAATTAAAAAAAAAAAAACAAACTCTTTATTTTTTAATTAATATTGAGCTTTCGTGGTCTACAGTTTCAGCTTTAAATGAAAGCTTAGCGTTTGCAAGCTTTCGCTGTTCCAACGGGAGACTGTAACTTAAAAAAGAAATCCTTCAATGCGTACTAGCAGTTATATGCGAAGCCTATATAATTGCAAATATACAGCAATGTATATACATATGTAAGTACTTCTAGCAACTAGAAATTTTAGAAAATTATTTAATAAAAATGATATATGTAGCATATAGTAACGTGAATGAGTATGTTAAAAAATTCGACTCCTTGAAATTTTCTTAAATCTTCTTCTTGCACCTCGAAGTTTTACTTTGATATGGTTTTCATATTTTCTGTTTTTTTTTACATTCTTCCAATATGAAGCAAATACGAACAAATAATAATCATTTAATATAATAAAGAGCTTTCACATAAGCTCATAAATATTTACACGAAATCAAAAGAAAATATTTTAACAATAATAAACACATATGTATGTATGTATATATGGTTATGAAAACAAATACAAAATATTTCTGTGTATATACACTGTGATAGACATTGTTGTACACAACACACTTTTAATTTACAATTTAGCTGCAGCAAAAAACAATCGGTCCGGCAACGGCTAGCCAAATATGACAGTTCCAAATTTTCTGCGTCCTTGACTCCCATTGCACCTCTACTCTGGTTACTGCGGACGTCACGTAAAAAATAAAAAATATGTTTGCCAGTGACCTACGATTTGGGCGTCACTGTTCCAGGTAGGTTAATGAGATTGGCTCAAAAAAGGGCACATTTGGACTGCTTAGCTAAAGCATAAACGTCTGCCATCCGCTCTCGTCTAGAAAGATTGTGAAGTTGAAAATATACATGATTCTATGCAGCGTGCGCTGAGGTAACGCGGCATCCATCTGAACCAAAGTTTTCCGTATGTAATTGTCTATTTGCTCTCGGTCAGATCTTATAGGCTACTTATCTGCGGCGCAGTTTCCTGCAATGTCAATATGACACAAGTGCCTACATGAGTCTGACTAGGAAATAACCAGACGCTACCGAAATAGGAGTCAAACGTTCCCATATTAGCTAGAGGGAACCGTGAACGAGCTCTATACTATGTCGCGGACTTGGAAAACTGTAATCTCAACAGAAAACTAATAGATTCGCCCCTTAGGTCGCGCTTTCTACTTTCACATTCGGAGAATTTCGCCTTATTTCCTGTTCTTTACGTATCATCGCGGAGGAAACTATTTGGTTTTAGCAAGTCCTAAAAAACCACTTGTGTCTCGAGGAATGTGCTGCTATCGCAGAGATGAAGGAAGATGCCCAAAGGGCCACGACGCGATCAGGCGCAATGCGAGCAATGGAATATGGGAAACAAAGTTATATATTTCAGTTGCCGGCCGAGAAGAAATTCGCCCAAAAATTTAGCCAAAATTAATTTTCGAAAATATTGAAAATGGCTGATGGCAGGTCCACAAATTATAAACAAAAAACTTTTTCACACTAATGAAAGCTACCTGCGGAGAAAAATGTAGACGTGACGAAAATTCCAGGCATAGTCTCGAAGTGTTGCAAAGCCCTTCAACGGGAACTTTGTTGTATGATAAAAGAAAAGATCTAACCAAAATTTATCCAAATCAAAAATGGTCCATCCGAACCATTTGTCGATTTGACCTACACTGGCCCAAATACATATGGTAAATATGTATATTGGCATCATGTGATTTCGGTTTCCTAAACCAGTTTATACTATGTACATGTATTATTGTACATTATAATCTTACTTCAGTGTGTTGAATACAACTTGAAATACATTATGCAATTAGGTACATGTATGCGTGAGTTTACAAACCATTTACAACATAACCAATCTGTAACCCAAAAATCCTACTGGAATGTGAACATTTTGAAAAAATTGTTGAAATGAAACACAAATATGGTTAAAAAATTATCAAAAATAGTTTTTTTTTTTCTGTTTACAAAAAGTAAATGAAGTGATTAACAACGTTAACACAAACACATAGAGATTAACAAAAAACTAAACATGTATGTAAATAGATGCACAAACGAACAAATGTGATTTTGCTTAAATTGTTTCGATTTTTCGAACAGAAATTAATGAAATAAGTAAATCTATATTTTTGTTTTATATTAAATTGATAATTACGTCGCATTTGGATCATATTCAGCCCATATCCGAACGAACTCGTCCAAATGATGGGCACCCAATATGCTGGAGTCTCTGGTGAGATAATCGAAATTATCCATAATAACGGCAACGAATAAATTCAACATGAGAAATGAGCAAAAGAATATGAACGATACAAAATAAGCGTATGCCAGCGTTGAGCCGCATGTTTCGTTGCCCTTGTCGGCTTCCTCGTCGCATGGCCTCCCCTTAAGGCACGCCAGCATAATGTTCGGCCACGCCTCGCCAGTTGCACATCTATAAAGATTTTACGCAAAGCGTTAGTACAATATGGATCAAATAAGTTGTGTGCTACAGAGATAGCGTAAGTACTGTGTATGACAGTAGATACATACTATAACTTTTAAATATTTATTTATTTTTCTATTATACTAAGAATACATTAACTATACATATGTATGTAGTAAATATACAAGTAAAAGCAAATTTGTGTGTGTGTGTGTGTTTTTTTTTATAAAGTACATAACAATTTCGGTTTACTCGTTTGTGTTTTTGTGTGTATGTATCTATTTAGTAAAGTTTAAAAACGCGGCTAATCATATTAAATGCAAGTCTATATTTGCAACTCGTGTTGGATAGTACACAGCTGGGATGGGGAATTGAACTAAATGCGTATTTTTTGTACCGTTTGAACTACGCTAAAATTTTTGTATACTCAATAAAAAAATAAGTTGCCATCAAAGAACAATAAAAAAATCTTTATAAAATCAGGTAATTGCTTTTTATTTTACTTTTTTAAAGTTACATATCTATATATAAACAGATATTACTTAGGTGAGTACATTAGATCGGTTCGCTTTGCAAACAAAAGCAAAATATCTAGTTTTCTCTATAACTTTTTTATTTATGGCCCGATTTTATAAATGTCCTCGAACTGTTTGAGATCATTAAAATTTGATAACTTACTGAAATTGGTAATTCAGGTCAAGACGATAACAAAGCCACATTACAATCGGGTTACAAATAAAAAGTAATGAGTATTTCTCGATTTTGGCTATTTTCGGGACTCGTCACACGGAAAACTTTATGGCGCTTTTTGCAATCCACTCTGTCGCATTTACATACATAATTTAGTGTGTATGTACAGTAAAACTTCGATAATTTATTTACAGTGGTGGTCGTTTTTTTTTAAATTTTTTTGTTACTCTTAAATATTAATTAAGTATATATGACATATAGTTTTAAATGCAAATTGTTGCATACTTTAGAAATTTTTAATAAATATATCTCGTTCCGCCACTTAACCTTTTTTATTTTAATATCTAATTGCAAATAGCTGATCCGAACTACTTATCGCAGCTTCACTGCATATTTTATACAATTTTCAAATTATTTCCAAAGATTTTAATATCTCTACAAGTGCTAAGTGTCAACTGTTTTATGAATTAGTTAGCAAGAAAAAACGTATGACCTTATTCATAAAAAATAAAATAGATTTATAGAGCTCTATAAAGTGACATTTTTATACAAATTTTCGATATATAAAGCAGTTAAAGTATTCTTTATTTTTTATAAATTTGGGTGTTAGTTTTTTAAGATGTTTTTTTTTTTTTTATATTTCTGCTTTTGAAAATAACTTCAATAATAAGTTCATTGGCTGCATTAAAAACAGTCTTCAAGTTCTCCCGGGGATAAGGTCCCGCACTGGCATGGAGTTTTTCGATTTGCAACTGGTTTAGTCTCACATGTAATTAATTGTTCTGTTACCTGTAGAAACAGTTTGCTTTTTTTGTTTGTTGTTTTGTGTACGACGAAAAAGTTTAAAAGCGCAACATCTAAAATTGAAATAAACTGGAATGTTTATATGTTGGGAATATTAATCCTGGGACCCTGCATTTTCCAGGTCCCGAGAGTACCGGGATTCTTGGCAAATAATCCCGGGGTTTTCTGGATTTGTAATTAGCACTGATGGCAATAATAGGAACTCCTTTACTTGGCTATATTTCTGTTCTCTTAGTAAAATTACGTTTTTAGTTTTTCACTCTGACGACAGTAATTCAAAAATGATTTACAAAGTTCAGTGAAATGTCCTTAGAGAAGAAGTATGGGTATCAAATTAAAGAGAAATTCTATAGAAGGACTGGTAAGTATTGAAAAGTCATTTTAAAATTTTATCCTTGAAATTCGGCAATATTTGTTTTTGAAAAATTTATATGTTAAGAATTTAAATAAACTTGATAACATAAACGAATTTCGTCCTTATAACTTTATCAGCTTAAAAAATTACCAATTCGTTCTTGTGAATCCAAAAATTTCTAATTTTTTTTAATTATAAAGAAAATTCCTCTCCCATTTGGTACCCATATTTTTATTCTACATTGCATTGACTTTTTTAAATAATTTTTGGAAATAATCATATCTTTGAAATTACAAAGTTCTTTAAAATAAATTCCGACGTCAGAGGAAAAAAACAAAAACACCTAAACCCAGGAATAATCCCGGGATTGAGGTAACGACACCCCGAAAATCTCGGTAATCGTAATCTCGATAAGTCAAAACGTGAAACGAATGGGTAGGTCGTATATAGCTGGATACAAGGTCTACCGTAACTTTTATCGATTGCTCAAATTTGAACCACAAGATTGGTAGTGGGCTCAAACTATACACAATCCATGCAACGGCATCTCTTCGAAACTGGCAAACGATGTAGGAAAACTCTGAACGAGTGAGCCGCGAAATCTATCGTGGACGTGGTATGAGTTCACGGGCAGAGTGAAATATCGGCAAATTGCGCGGCAGACGAGCTCGCTTAAATAGCGGCTTACTTACGCTCAGTTAAGTCTTTTCCACGATTGAGAGAATACAAAGGTTGCGCCCAAGAATGATAGAACACAAGAACAATCGAGCTGAGAGCAACTGGCCGTGACGTCAATAAATACCAGAATGAAAGAGCAAGACGAACTCGACAATAAAAAGAGGAAGTATCGAACAAAAGGCAGTGCTGCCAAGTTTTGAATTTGAAAAAGCACCAAATTTTGATTGGTGTATTTTATAGACTTTATATGAATACATAATTTTATTGAAGGGATGCCGATTCAAATCAATAAAAATCAATGTTTCTTGCACAGCGGTTGATTTCTTCTGGCATAATTGAAGGTGGTGCCACATATTTCGTTGTCGCTTATGATTGTCACTGTGCCATGATTTTGTTTAAATTTTTGTACAATTGTTTACCACACTTACGATTGCTATAAATTTTGCATCCATTTTTTTAAGATTTTCTAATTTGGTGTCTTTAAACTAAAAACAAAAGCACCAAAAACGCACCAAGCACAAAACTCAAAATTTTTCGCGTTTTGAATACCCACTAAATTTGGTGCGAAAAGCATCAAGTTGGCAACAGTGAATGTAAACAAAAGTATTTTATGACGTCAGCGATTGGGTGGATGCTGTCAAATCGACGAAGAGAGGGTTAGCGGTCCGCGAATGGCGCGTCCTTTATTTTCTGGATCGTGGGTTGCGCCGATCTCGGACCGCTATTCCTCTCTTAACGAATTTGACAGAATCGTTGTTTGCATGACGTCACACTTGTGCAACTTCTTTACGTTTTCCTTGCAACATTTTTTCTTCTTCTTCCATTCTTGCTCACATTTTGGCATTTCTCTCTCGCAATTGCACCAGTGTGACGTCACACAAAAGTTATTCTCAAAAATCCTCTCTGATCGGCGCAATCTTGTATTCTATCATTATTGACTCTTTTCGTGATGCAGGAAACCTTCTATCGTCTTGCAAAATTATCATAACTGACAACCTAAAAGTTGTGAGCGGAACCCACGTGTCGGGTTACTTAGCTAATTTAGTTTTTTTAACTATCAGCAGAAAAAGGTACTCAAAATTTTACTGAGAAATACCTGATTTTATAAAGTTTAAGAATTTTTTTTTTCACATTTGGTTGTGATATAAATAAATTAAAAACCTTGAATGCTTCTTCACACGTAAAACGACTGTTTCAATACCTTTTTATACAAATACATATCTACACAAGTATTTATGTATGTATGTATGTATGTTAAGTAAAATGTCTGGCATTATCTAAGAATTTTAGCATAGATTTGATTTTAGCTGTGTGAACTGTGTGATATTACTTTAGGCATATTATTTAGTATTTAATGAGCATATTTAACAAACACTAGTGCACTAAAAACTATTAACTGGGAACTGTAATCAATTAATTCTTGAAAAATTGCAAGCACAAGAAAACTTTTCAAAATAATAAGGTTGTCTAAATGAGCATGTGTATATACGAGTAAATAGTAGAGAGTGAAATAAGTGTGTATGTGTTTATTTCTTTTTTGAAAATAAAAATTCATACATTATAAACTATTTTATATGGACATAAAAAGGGTTAAAGAGCACAAATTTTAAGACGAATAAAAAATTATTGGACAAAATCCCAAGGTTGTGCAAAACAGCTTTATAAATATTTTTTTTTATGTTTCTAAGCAAATTATTTGCAGTTATTTAGCAAACAAGGCATTGACACATTTGCAAAAAAAAAGTTGCAAATATTTCTTTTGTGAGATTGGCACTTGAATTCAGCGTTTCAATGCCAGGTGTTTAATTTTATTTAAATGTGACCTTCATCAGCTTTCGTTGTAGATCACAACACCTTGAGAATGGGGTTCTCACATGGGGCCCGCATAAAGATAAGCGCTTTTATAAATTCTGCCAAATTTTTCCCACTTGCTTTTCGTTAGAGCATTTTTGGTTGAGTATATTTTATCATTAGTAAAATCGACTTTGTTTGTTTCACGACAGCAATGCGGAGAAAACGCTGCCTGTCCCCAGTCAGTTGTTTAACAATTTAATTTAAAAAACGAAATAGAAACATGTCCCTTCCATCCAAATTTCTATAATTTAAAACTCTCGAGCACAGTTTTATAAACATAAAATTAGACTAACTTAGTTGGAATAAAGGATGAAAATATTGGATGAAATCACGAACTCATTGTTCCAGGCCTAATTTTAGTCCCAACTGTCTAGCTATTCTTGTAATTGATAGAGATTGTCTAAAATAGGCGTAATTTTTTGCATCTCGCGGGCTTAGTTTAGTTGGGCTCCATTTTAGCAAAAAAAAAATCAGTATTTGATATTGAAGAATGTCGATTCCCCCATTTAGGTTGCACAAATGTGTAAGCCCAAAACCTCTAGAAAAAAGTTGTGTATAACTTAGACAAGAACCCAGTGTGCTACGTCTACAGTATAACCTACAGAGCCCCTTGCCGTTGACTATGGATTCGATGCTTTATCCGTCAGATGAAGAACCTGCTCAAGCCCATTAAAGAACGAAAAAGAGACAGAGGGCTAAATCACTGTCGCATGCCAACGGTATCGATATCATCGCTTTTTGCCGACTGTTTCCCTCTTCCAATATGTATGTATGTATGTATGTATATTGATTCAAGAATTCAGTTTTGGCAATAATAATTTCGGAGAATTAAAAGAACTGCGTGTGTTAGGGAACCACAATAGGAACCGAGAATAAAGTCAGTCTTGAAATCTAACTACGAGTATGGGACCGGAACAAAAATAGTGACCACATCCGAGAGACGGTTTCCTAGATTATTGGAAAGAAAGGTCGATGAAAGATTTCTGAGGCTTTTAGTATTAGCGCCGGTAGTTGGAAAGGAGCCACGATATATATGGATTTTTTGTCCAGATATTCGAATATCCACTATCTGTATTATACGGATAGTCAAAAAATCTGGATATAAATTCTAGCCCTAATAGACGAATCTAGGTTAGTTAAGGTTGTAAAGCTTTTCTTATTATTATTGGATGCATATTTGAACTAGTAAATTATAGACTTTCCCTTGTAATTCCTCGTAAGGATTGCCAGAGGTGTCAAATAGGATTAGGGAAGAGAAGAAAAGCCAGCGATGTCACTTACATATATATTAACGGTAGAAAAACGCAGCGATATATCCTAAACCTCATCACGAATGAAGATTAATTGAGACCCAAATTATTTAAATCTGGGTGTCCTACGACCCACTTAAAAGCAAAGCCCTCTTAGGAATGAGCAACAAAGTGTAGTGTGCACAGGGCCAGTTGGGGTGCATGCCTTCAAAAGGGTTTGTCGCAGTTGCGATGACCCGGGCTCAATAGAGAAAGTCGAACACTTGCTGTTCGGGTGTGCAGCACTCGCAAGGATGAGACTAAAGACAGTCCGCAAACTATTCCTGCAGAATATTACAGTGTGACGTACTGAAATTTATTAAAGCCGCCAAATTGTTGTAGATTACACGAGTTGTGGAATCAAAATGGCAAACATGCTTATTGCTTGTTACCGGCGTGACAATCCACTTAAACCAACCAACCCTTCCGTGCAATTTTGAATAAGTTGATTGGGCGCTGACTCGAAAAGTATTTAGTAATTCTTTTAATCTTTCCTTCAAAGAATATGAGTGACAAAAGCTAAACACATAGGAAGCCAGTAACGTTATGTAGTGGTCGGTTAAACTGATGACCTGGAACCCACAAAAAGTTGACCTTTAATGGATTTATAGTTTGTGCAGTACACAGACCATGTTTCACGTGAGTCGAAGGATCTTAATGCTGCCAGAGTTTATCTTTTTTTACGGGGCATACAAACTTTAATTAATTTATTTTTTTTACTTACTATATAGTGTTTATAAAATGTGTCAATGTTTTATTACAATTGAATGACTACCCTGGGATTTTGTCCACTCTCTAAATGTCTTAGATGTAGGAACATACATACGAGTATATGATATGTGGGTAAAATATAGTTGATTAAATCCTGTGAGATTATGTATTCTCCTAGCTATAGCTAACTTTTAAGATTTTTTTTTTTTAATTAGAAAACGTTCACTTTTTATAAGTTCACACTAAATTTCATATAAATCTGAAAGTATATAGTGTTGCTAGAAATTTTCTAGAGGCGCTAAAAATCGCATAAGATTATTAAAATTTTCTTTTTTTTTTTTGTTATATGGTTCATTATTATTTTTAATCGTTAAAACTTTTAGAAAAGAATGAGTCCAGTGAAACTAGATTTACATACCTGAATAGCAACATGACGCCTTGTATAAATGATTGGAAGTTGTTGTGCCTAGTAATGGTATTTTCCATTGTATCTAGTTTGATATTCCCAAACACCTATGCATGTAGCGAATGTGATTTAATTTTTATTAAAAATCAGTTTTTGTACTGCTATTGATTTTGTTTTAAATTTTTTAACATATTTTAATTTTTTTTTGTTTTTTTTTTTAGACAAAAATAAACAATAATTGGTGGTGGTGGTAAGAATGCTAGAAAAGTATGAAGAAATCAAAGGGAAATTAATAATGCAATAAACAGTGAATCAAAACAAATAAAAACGCACAAATATTCGAATCATATCTAATTAACTAAAAATCTTTGTTTTTTTTTACATTTCGTAAAATAAACTCTGTTACAAATACAACTGTTTTGGCATGGAAATTGTTTTAAATGTATGTATGTATGTACGTATTCGAATGTTGGTCGATCATTTTTGTATGAGTAACAAAATAATTAAGAAAATATTCAAAGCCTTCTACTGAATCAAACTACAAAACTGTTCACAATTAACTAGTACGTTTTTTTATTTTTATGGTGGGGGTGGAAATATTCAACTCAAAAACCGGGTGAAAGTGGGGGACGTGAGTACAGTAAGCACAAAGTGTGTTTACATATTCGTGACACAGCCCCTGTGAGAAATTCAAACAGCATTTAATTTCAACACTTACATATGCATGTATGTATGTAAATATTTACTACTACGAGTATTCATTGTGACTTTAGCATTTGTGTTGAAAGGAGTTTAAACTTTTACAAACATTTTAAGGGGTAGTAACGCTTCTTGGAATGGGGTTCTTGTGTGTACATATGTGTGTGTGAGTGAGAGAGATTTTACAAAGAGTGAAATTCCTTTTGTTGAATGCCTCAAGTACTGGTGGTGATAACTGTTTATTGCTAATTTTTTACTTTTTCATTTAAGTACGTTTTAGCGTCAAGGTTTTGAAATTTTGTGGAAGGGTGTCGCTTTGGGCTAGTCTTCTGTACCAACTAGCACTGCAAACGGACTTTCAACGCATTTAAGTAGTAGTGTTTTTGTATCGGTGTGAACGAGTAACTTTGGTATTACAATTTTCTTGTGAGTGTTTGGGCTGAGAAATCATTTACATAAGTACATATGTATATATTTAAGTAAGTATATAGTACCTTACATGGTGGTGGTGGTCGTGGTGGTAAAATCTTCCAAATCTATATATGTATGTACATAAGGTATAAACTGTAAGGAACTGTTTCAAATAAGTAACTCTTTGGAATAAATTCAAAATGATATACAAAAATTTAATTGAATTAACTACATTCCTCAAACACAACTCGATAATTAGATACATAGTAAGTATGTAGCAACGAAACAAGTAGAACTCTATTCAATAGAAATATATATATGTAATTATATATTTATTTGTGTATAAACTACTGTAAATTTCAAGCTAGCCCCCAAAGAAAATTGTTTTACAAAGTATTTGTATGCATATGAATTTAGTTAGTAGTAGGTGGGAACTCTTCATAAATCGATGTAGGCTTGTAGCTAAGTACATATTTATGCAATACATAATACTGATATGGTTTTTTGTATTTTGTTTTGTATTTAATTTTTTATTTTTTATTTTTATTTTTTGTTTTGTTTTATTTCGTTCAAAAACAACGCCAACCAACACTAGTCAAAAGAGCAACGCCAACAAATATACGAATATCATATGTACTTATATGCAAATATAGTATATAGTAGGTAGTTATGTATATATTAGTTATACGAGTATGTGTATAAATATATACGAATTGGTAAGTAACTGTTACTTGTTAAGAAAATATTACTTGTCATAAATAATTACTTTGTTTGGCAATACTTGTTTTAAGTCAACATTGTTTTTGTTTACCGAAAGAGCAGCATGATTCCACCGGAGAATGATTGAAAATTATTGTGGCGGTTGAGTTGTGTATCCGGATCATATTTTATATTTCCAAAAACCTTTCAATTACGCACATTTAACGATTTCGTTTTTATATTTTTTTTGTTTTGCATTTAACGTTTTTGGGTTTTCATTTCATTTCATTTCATATGATTTTGCATTTGCAATAATTGTAATTAATTTGGCATATCGTTGACATATCGTTTTCGGTTTTCGTAATCGTTATTTAGTATTTGTACAATATATAAATGTAAATATATCAAAAGATTATTAATCATGTTATCAATATTGAAATGAAATCCTAAACACTAAAAATATTGCTAACTACTTGTTCTACGAGTGAACGCGCTCGATTTTTCATCAACATTACAAAAAAAGGTGCGTGCGATGAAATATTGGAATTTTGAGAGTTGGGGTATTGCGCACACGTACGCACTCACATGTACATGTCATAAGACGTGAAGCCAATTTGTTTATTGCCAATTTTTATTGGGGTTGCAGTTGATGAAATTTTCGAGCAGCGTTAGTTATGAATGATAAGATTTTGACTGGCCATATGGCTAAGCTACACGTACGAACACACTTCCCTATGGGATGGAAAAAGCCTAAAAGAAATAAAACTAGTGAAACAAAGGCTTTGCTGAAAGTTTGGAACGTTCTTCAAAACAAAAGAATTTTGAGTTGTTGAAGATTTTTATTACGTCAAAATAGATATTTTTACTCGGTATTGTAGATATCGGAACAAATTTCCATCATCCCCAGGCCGGTTTGATGTGCAAAAAAAAAAAACGCTTTCGGAATTATGCAATCTTCAGTGTTATTTGTCGTTCTTGACACTGAATATGGACAACGACGCAAGTGGTGCGTCTCCAAACAAAACCTGACATGGAACGAGGGTGAGGAGCTCTTTGCAATTGTACCTATATCCTTTCTCACCCCGTGCTAAAAAGGAACCAATATCAACTTTCTATTTAGTCAAATTTACCTAATGGAGTTCCGGAACATAATGCAAATGCAAATGCAACTCACATCCGCCAGATCTGCAAAGCAAGACTTGCCCTGAAACGCTATTCTGGCCCAACGGAAGGCAGAGCAGACGTATAGATTTATCGCTTTGACAGGCAGAGTCGTGGGCCAATTGCATTCTAGCCGCGTGAGTACCGAAGATCCGGGATCAAGTGAAACAGACTGTAAGTCTAGGTCAGTAACTCAGGCAAATAAGAAACCCTTTTGGTTCCTAAGTCATTTCGTTGCCATGAATTACGCGATGTGTCCTGAAAATCCTCTCTTGAAAGCAAACTTAATGGCAAAGTTTTTATCGAAAAAGTTCGATGTTTGGAGAACCCACTCAGAAATGAAATTGCGTTCCAAAAACATATCCAACAGGGGTTAAATTTTTCAGTTTTTGTTCTTAAATTTTTTAAATCTTTTCAGTCAGGGATTAAATTTTCAATTTTTCGTTCTTAAAATTTTGAAATATTTTAAAATTTTAAATTTTTCGTTCTTAAAAGTTTTAAATCTTTTCAGTCAGGATTTAAATTTTTAACTTTTCTTATTTAAAATTTTTTAGTCTTCTCAGTCGGGGATTAAATTTTAAAGTTTCGGTCTTAAAGTTTTTAAATATTTTAAATTTAAATTTTTCGATCCTAAAATATTTAAATCTTTTCTGTCAGGGAATAAATTTAAATTTTTCCTTCTTAAAATTTTTAAATCTTTTCAGTCGGGGATTAAATTTTTAATTTTTCGTACTTAAAATTTTTAAATCTTTTCAGTCAGGGATAACATTTTTAATATTTCGATCTTAACATTTTTAAATCTTCTCAATGATGGATTCAATTTTTAACTTTTTTTCTTAAAATTTTTAAATATTTTGAAATTATTAATTTTTCGTTCTTAAAATGTTTAAATCTTTTTTGTCAGGGATGAACTTTTTAATTTTTCCCTCTTAAATTTTTTTTTATAAAAGTGCAAGTTTGAAGTAGCTCGGACTCACCGTTGATTTTTGTTTTTTTTCCAAACGACGTTTTTAAAGGATTTTTTTTTTGAATGGAGCTACAAAATCACAAAAATAGAATAACCTAAAAAACTGCATACCTAAACTATTTCTTAGATATGTTATAAAAATGCTAGAAATTGTACGAAAAATTTCTTATTTTTTTGTTATTTCATAAAAATTCAAACTTGATTTTATACGATTTTTTTTTTAAAGGATTCACTTTATTTTTATTAAAAAATTATTTAGCTGAACAACAATAAAATAAACAGTCAATACATTGACCGATCATGTTATATCGTCCCTTGGGCAAGATGATTATTAAATTCCTGTATTTTTGATCCTCCTTCTCAGCTTTTCACAAATAGCAAAGATGGCCATAGGGAAAGTGTTTTACTTTCTCTTTTTAAAAAAATGTGTTCCAAAGTTTCCTCTAACAAAGCCTTTATTCATAAAACCGTACTAAGTCCATTTCCCTAACGGATGTTACCCCACTGATTGAAAAAAATGCACTATGATAAATTTTACTAACCCACCACTCTAGAAAAATTCAAATAATAAAACTCTTCTAACCACCCACACACTATTTTGGTATTAAAAAATCTATAAATAAATATCTGATATAAAAAACATTTGAATAGACGCAAAGATAATAAATCAAATGAATGTAGATGATCAGAAAAATGAAAAGATTCGCAAACAGAATAGCGTAAATAACAATGGGAAATGAGGTAAACTGTTTCAAATTAAGTTTTGTTGCTTTTACAGCACTCATATATATATTTTTTTTTTTTTTTAATTTATATGTTAGATACATATGTATGTATGTAATGTAAATAATATTTTTCATTTGACACTTACCTGCATGCCAATAATTGCATAAATAAAAAAGAGCATGGCTATTAACAAACAGACATATGGAAGTGCTTTGAACGATTGTACAAATGTCCACAACAGAATTCGTATCGTATATCCTTGACGGAGCAATTTTATGAGACGCGCCGCACGAAATAAACGCAGGAAGCCAACGTTGATTGAGTTCGACTGTAAAATATTTTTGGTCAAGAAATGAAAGAAATAAACAGAACACAATTAGCGGGCATTTTTTCGTGTACGTATGTATTGGTTTCATTTGTCAGGCAGTGTAGTTATTGTTGGTCATTTCCTTGTTACATACAGTAATTTTTTCAAATTGTTTTTTTTTTTTTAATTTACACTATTTTGTAACTGAGGGTTAGTTAGTTGAGCAGTTAATTTTAAGAGTTTTAGTACTTGTAAGTAAGTTGGTTGTACGTACACAATTTTGTGAAAATTTTTAATCATACGTATTTATGTAAATAAATTAAAGTGATCTTCTATACAGTAATAGTTGATAATTATGTATAATTTGAAAAAAAGCAAAGTCATTACAAGAAAAAAAATTTTAAATTTTGAAATAACTTAAAACTTACATACATAAGTTGGTATAATTAGAAAAAATTTGCATTATAAATTTACAAATTTACACACCAATTACACAAGAGTTTCTATGTATTAGTTACATATGTAATAAAGTGAGTGTGTGAGTGTTTGTTAGTAAACATTCTCAAAAATATAAAGCATCGAATTTTAAGTTTTTTCACAAATGCCGAATTCGCTCTTCTATACAGAAAAAAAAGTTCAAAGTGTAATTTTGTAAAAATTTCATTCACCGATAATCATTTTTTTTTTTATAATTAATAATAATTTGTGAAATTTCCAAATGCCAAATAATAGGAAAACTTAAAAGACAATAAAAAGCCAATAGAGTGGAAGTTTTAGAAAGTAGTAGGTATTACGAGCCCTAGCCGCCAAAAAGATGTAAGCGAATTTTTTTTTTTTAATTTTTTTTCGATGCAGAAAGGTTCCTAGAGCAGCTAGATGCATTTCTCCATAAAAAAAACTTTAAAAAAAATTCGCTTACATCTTTTTGGTTGTTAGGGCTCGCTTAGTTTGAAAAAAGCTTCGACAAAAGTGTGTTGTGCAGTAAAATACCTACAGTTGCATTCAGAATTTTTAAAAATTCCTAACATTTACTTCCAATTCAAGAATTCAATTCAATTAGATATCGTTCGTTGATTTCGTAATCGTACGATAGTGCATACCAATTAGCAAGTCCGTTAGTCAGGCAATGTAATAATGTTGAAAATTTGCGCCCGCAAATGCTAACACATGCACACCTACATTGTACATACAAACATATGTATGTATGCATGTATGTATGTACGAGTATTTACATAAGTAAGTGGGAGGTGATAAGCATTGCGTCTTTGACCAAAATATTTTACGCACAGACGTTCGGCGCATGCCACGCGCTTGCGTTCAAAACTCATACATATTTACATACCTTAACATAGTATGTATGCATGTAAATATTTAGTTACGAGTAGGTGGCGCATGCGCAGTGACACGCACTGGCGTCGGTGGCACGACGTATACCGCCTCGCAGTGGCTTCGTTTGGCGTCACACGCTGCACGCAGCATGCAACCCTGGCAATTTAGCCTGCAATTTTATGCAGCTTCGGATTGCATGCTTCGCAGTGTGGCGATGATTGCGGAGCTGCTTTCCTGGCGGTTTGTTGTACTTCAACAACGTCGACGCTTAAGATCATAAATATTAAGTATCTATATATTTACAATATCTAATATTAAGGAATCTGAAGTAGTAATAATAGTAGTAATAATAGCACTATTAGGCACATACAACATTTAGGGAATTTAGGTAGACTTAAGTAAAGTAATTTGTAATATAAAATTGCGAAACAATTGTTTAAAACTAGCATAATACATACATAAATATTCTATATAAAATCAGGGGAAATTGCGTTAAAAGGTATGTACTATAATATGATATTATGTAGTATACATAGAGGCGAGAGAAAATAACATAGTATCTGGGTGGGACAGCCGACAAACTTATGACTACTTATTGAAAAAATATTTAGGAAATATAAGGTCTTTGAAGTATCTTGTATACATATATGACAGATTTTGGATGCTTAGTAAACTATATATGTAGAAGATTTACGGCCTACAGGTATGCAACAAGTTGCCATAATCAATTAATGAGAGAGCTTTGAGAATTTCGATTCAAAATGCGGCAAATAACTTATAGAATATAGTGTACGCTCACAGTTTGTGAGTTAGTCTATCAACGAAGTAAATAAATAAATGCCAGTTGGCCTTTTTTTTGGTCAGTCGATAGGAAGTGTGCATTTAACTATATACATATAAATTAAAAGCGTAGAGTAGTTTAGCGACAGAGAAGTAGATCGAAGGCAGGTAAGCAATTTGTGTGTTCAATTTTAAATTAAAGTTACATTTGAATAGAGTGCTGTAATTTAACATGATGATGAGCAGAGAGTGTTTTTAATCTGCAAATCCATATGAGAAGTGTAGAAAGCTTAAAAGGCACTGTACGTGTGCTCATCACTGCTTCGGCGAAAAAGAAAGGAATAAGCTTTCGTATGAGTGAAAGCTTTGCAGTATATTTTTTTTTCTCTTGCAGATTCTCTTAACAGAATAAACCACTTTCGGAGCTTAGAAATTTACCTCTAAAGTTATTTGCGACACTTGGTCACTTGAATTTTTCGGACGAAAAAGCTGAAAATTTGTATAGATCGGTGAAGCAACACTAAGACATTTTTTGTGCGAGTGAATTGTTTTTACCAAGCACTAAACTGCTGACATGTTAATAATTCCAAATACTATGTTTCAGTAAAATCAGTTCACTTATGTTTTATAGATTTAAGAAAGATGACCGCTACAATGTTTTTTTGCTACAACTTATTTATTGATTATATGAAAAGCTCTGAGTACTTGTCGCCTTCAATATATCACAGACCTCGCTTGCAGCTACTACTCTCTATTGAGCGCGAAAGTTTCATAAATGAGGAGAAACGAAATGATAAGATCAACGCCCCAATAAACACTATGTAGTGCAAAGGCGAAAGCACTTTACAAAATCTGTAAATATAAATATTTTCGACTGACACGGGACTTTTGTTCAAAACACACAACTTTTCGGTGACTCGAATATTTTCAGTTTTCCTTTGTAAATGAAAATCAAAAGCAGTTAAAACACAACATAATAAAATATTTTGACTAAGGAACACATAGGGATGATGTATCAACTTCAATTTTTTTTAGTGGTGATACTAAGAGAGTTGGCCATTTCCTATGTAGGGGAGCGTACAATGATTTCTAAGCTAGTGTAAAGCTATATCTGGCTAGCACTAATTTCTATAAAATCTGTAGAAAGTTTAAGAAAAGCTTTATGTCTTGCCAGCGCTAAAAGTTTCTATACATTTTTTATGGATGCGTTCAAAAGTAAAAGCGCTCTCTTTGCTCAACGAGAGGGCGTTTACCTTACACACACTCCGCATTCCAAATATGTATATTGAACGCTTTAAAAAGTTTCATCTGCTATGCATATATTTTAGTCGTAACAGATATATGTAAGTGTTGGCCTGCCAAGTTTTCTAAACTTTCTATGGATTTTATCAGAACGAACACCGGGCTTACACTATTTCTCAAAAGATAAATAAATAGAAAGTTGACGAAAAGCTGTTTTACCTTGTACTCAGCTTACAAATACATTGAAAGCTCTAAAAAGCGTTTCCGTTAAATATGGTTCGACACTGATTAGTTTAGGGCAGTAGAAGGTAAAGATAGCTTTTACCGCGAGCGCGTCAATTAAAAATTTATAGAAGCTTAAGAAAGCTCTTCCTGCATACATACAACGTTTTGTCCGGTACTGGTATAGATCATCGCGAATTCAAGGCTATTGGCTATGCTCTAATAATGATTTTCTACGAGTGTGTTCTAGTATGGTGACAGTTTGTATACTTAAATCTAAGCTAAGGGGTTCATATACATATATATATATATGATTTGATATCTTTATGTCAGTACCTAGCTAACTCAACGGAAAGTATATAGTATTTTAGTTAAAAGAGCTTTGAGTGTCTACTAAAATTTTTATAAAATAAACTAATTTGTTTGCGCAGCATTTCAAAATAATCACTCATAAAATAGTTGAATAAAAATTATTTAAAAATAAATATGGGGAAGTTTGAGCAAAATCTAAAATTTTTTTGCAACAAAACTATGTTCATCATCATAGGAAACTTTACTATTTCATAGCGGACAAATATGTACGGGCGTATAATTTTGGGAAATTTGTAAATATGTATAAGATATGGGTATAAGAATAACTTTTGTTCTTGTTTTTACTTACATCCTGTAGAATATGTATGGAAACAAATTTGTATTATCATTGATTTGGCATTATGTTTGTCAATTAATTGATATTTATGTTCCGATTTTAATTTCGATTTCATAGATATATACCAGTTTCGCATGTCGTTGTTGATGTTGTTGTTGTTGTTGTAGAAAATTGCATATTCATAAATGTTTTTGGTTTCGAATTTTCATTTTCAAATTACGATGCAATGTGTATAGATGTGAGTTTCATATTTTATTTTTTTCAACAAATATTTGTGTTTTTGTTGTCAATTCATATTTTCATTTGCAAATTTTGTATATTCGTGTTTTTTATTTTATAATTTTTGTTTTGCAAGTTTTTACGGTCAATGAATGTTAGAAGACAGCATTCAAAACACATTCACATACATATGAGTACATTTATATGTAGATATATATGTAGTGGGTATATATATATATATATAGCAAATGTTACGGCATACATAGTTTTCGTACGTTTTGCAATCAGTGAAATGTGTATGCATTTTTTGTTTAATTTCAAGTTGCCACAAAACATCATACATTTAACGTACACAACGGTTGTAGTTGCAGTTGCAGTTGCAGTTGCAGAGTGTAGAGAGGATGCAGCATTGCAGCGATTGATATGAGTTTGAATGTTTGACAGGTTATTCGTTAGATATACATATATGTTTTTATTTTTATTTTTATTTTTTTGTATGTAGTACAATATATGGTGAGTATCATTTCGTTCCAAACAATTTCGTGCAAGTGAGTATTGGTATGCAATTAAATATTTTTGTTTTTGTTTTTGTTTTTGTTTTCGTTTTTTTTTTGATTTGTTAAGTGATTTCGAATTTTTTTTTCGAATTTAGTTTTTGCGGATTATGACAGATTCAGACAGTTTGGTTGTTGTTGCAAAAAGAAGAAATAAATAGAAAAGTATCTCATTAATATCAATTGAATTTTTTCTAAATTTAAAAAGTGTATTTTCAACATATATATTTAAATTTTGTTTTTTTTTAACAAACAAATTTTGTACGAGGAACGCGAACACAGGTGGAAGTACACAGGTACACAAAGTACACGAATTTGGTTTTTTTTTTGGGCAGAAAAAGCAATATTTTTGTATTAATTTAATTTAGCAACTAAGCGATTGGATACGAGTACATAAACTAGCAGGCGATCGAGCGAAGGGATCTTTTTAATGGAAACATTTTATTAGCGGGGAGTAGTATTGCGCAGTCTCCAAAACGCATGAACGCACATGTGAGTATGCATATAAACGTATGTAAACAGAAATTCTTGAACGATATTTCATGGCGTGTATGTATACATATAATTATGATGAACGCATTCACTAGCTACATACATAAATATAAAATGAACTCGCAAACATTTTTAATCAACGAAAATTTGATATAGATATATTTATTTATTAGATTTTCCGCAACATTGCAACTTTCAATCAATATTTATAATTGCCAAATCAATTACATCTAGTCCTATTTTTTAGTGTTCTCATATTTGTGTCTTATAGTATGTGTGATAAAGCATACATATTTATGTATGTCCATAGGTATGTATATAATAGTTGTGTATTATATGTTGCTAATTAGGTTAGGTTTTTAATACTTCCTAAATTTCTACCACTCACTTCAAAAACTATACTGTAACACACAGAAAAAACCGAAACCATAATCCAAGGTATCTCAGGTACTTAGCCTATCTAAGCATGACTCTACGATACTTTTGGCAGACAAGTGCGTAACATATTGGAAACGAAGAGTGGCATTCTGGCTAAATTAGTTGAAAGTCTTTTGTAAGACAACTGAATGACAGAGAGAAAGAAGTCTCAAAGAATTTGTTTATTCTGGCACGAATTTCATACAAAAAAGCTCCCTTGTCAGCATTATGGTGAAAAGTTCTTGTCACAGAAAGCACTCGTATATCACTTTATTCACGCTGCTCCAACAGTCACCGAGTGAGGAAAGCACTGCCAAAGGTCGAGCCATCTTTATCTAAATTTAAATTTCTTTCAGGTTTTAGGTTTCAATGTTTTAAAAAGAAAAACATATATATAGATGTATATTTTTTAATTTGTTTAATTTTGAAAAATTTATTTTATTTGTTTACTTTATTCTTTTTTTTTATTTTTTAATAATAATTTTTAGTTTTATTGTTTTACAAAAAAAAAATCATTTAATTTAGTTTTCGGAGGCTTGTCTTTTTTACCTTATTAAATTATTTTGTTTTCTTTTTTAATTCAATTTTTAGATTTTCTTGTTTTAAAAGTAAAAAGAGTTAAATGCCATTAAATTTTTAGAAACTTATTTTATTTATTAGATATTATATTTTTCTCTTTTTTAATTTGATTTTCTTTAAACTTTAAAAAAATAAAAATACTTGTTTTAAGTTAAATATTTTAGAACTTATTTTATTTTTCAAATTTATCTATTTTAAGCTTAGTTTTCAGATTTTATTGTTTTAAAGAGAAACTTTAATTTCTAAATGATTATTTAATTTTAAGAAACTGATTTTATTTATTCTTTTTTTAACTTTTAATTTTTAGGTTTTATTCTTATAAAAAGGAAAAAATATATTTTTAAGCGACTAATGCATTTCCAGCATAAACCAAGTGAAGCGAACACACACACGCCCTTGTGTTTAAAAGTAATTCGCTCATTCTTAATTGGGTATGCATTTTATATGCAATTCTCAAATCTCTCTTCGCTGAACAGAGTGAAGTGATAATTCGCTGGTATTTCCAGCCATAGTCAATGCTAACCCAGCTACGGCTTACAAGCCACACAGGGGCTCTGCATGAATGCATCCGTGAATAAAACCCAGCTCATTGCACAGCAGCCTGCGGCAGCTAGAGCATGACTCCCCCAATCGATAAATGGTAAAAGGGACACATCTTGCGCTTCCGCTTCATCAGCTTGCCCGCATATCTCTCTCTCTCTCTCTCTCTCGCTCTCGCATATCAGGCAGGTTGACTTGATGTGCACCTATAAACCATTTGGGCTCATTGGGCTCGATACATAAACACTCGCAAAGGGAATTCCTACCTCCCCTGCCCCTCTAACTCACATCTCTAAACCTGGTCTCCCGCTCTCCCTCTGGCGTTGTTCCGAACAAGGCTCATCATATCATCTGTGGAAATACTAGATCTTCTACAGAAGGTAGTTGTAATCAAAACATCGAATACACCACATTGGCTTTTTACGACTATGAATCACCCGACTTTGGCGATTTGTATACCCAGGCTATCTTGAGGTTTGGACTAAGCTTATCTTACCAATCCTAAATGATATATGTGTTTACTGCAAGTGAAACAAGAGCATCTATACGCACATATCCTTTCCTTGAAGACTAGAGAAAGTACTCTTTAACCCCAAAACTTGAAAAGCTCACTTTATATGCAAATAGTACTATGAAATCTCTGTTAGCAAAGGTGTTCCAAAAGTAGTATACATAGACGTACATGCGCATGGGAGCACTATCGCCGTTCGTAAGTTAAGTGTTGAAAAAAGTTGCCAAAATACCAGAGGTTGTAAAAGCTGTACAACTACTAAATTAACACGTTAATTTTAATAACCCTCTTGTGTTGCGAATGAATGGTTTGCTATAGAAAGCCCACAATAAAATATTCGATATACAAATAACTAGTATTTATGTAGTTATGTAAGCCTATGCAGGTAATATACTAAATATGCATAAGTATGTGTATAAATATGTATGTATAGGTGTGGTTATAGATATGTATACCTAAAGGCTACGGTTTATCTTAATCCAACTAAGCTAAAAGTATGTATGCCTGTAAATATATCTTTTTTCAACATGAAATTACTTACTAAAGTGAATATCTAATTAAATTTCCATATATGTATGAATTGAGAAAAACAAAGCTTTCATAAAATAAATTTGTGTTTAGACATAGCAGAATATCGGTAATCAAGCATTCTCTTGCTTATTTGAATCATCCTCAATTTTTCAATTAATCTCATTCCGTTTTCACTTACCAGAAACGTTTGTATAAACTGCCTTATAATCTGCAATTCATTTAAGAACGAGTTAGTATTTCTAGAGAAAAATTGATCTGAACTTTATCTGAATTTATTTGCATAGCTGCGAGAGATTCGAAAAAGTAGCAGCAAGCGAGTAAATGCAAACCATAAGCAGCGAGTTTTTATGCAACGGCTGCACCAAATACGAATGGTTTGAGAGAGGCCGATCGTTTTAAATTTTGTTTTAACTAACTCGTCCCACGATCGAGGATATAAGGGATGAAAGAGTTGTATTTATGCTCAGCTGTAATTAACTTACTACAAAGTTTATTTGTCTTCACAGTTTAGCGGCGATTCATTTGAGTACTCATCGAACACTCGAAAATTGTTCTCGAAGGAAAAAAATTAAATTGATATTCTTAACCAGAATATTATTATTTTTTTTTTGGTTATCTGCAATCTACTTACCACAGCGGTTTTTCGTCTTTTTATTTCAAAAGTATGTAAGTTTCTGCAAGTATCTACTAAAAAGATTTTCAACAAATTGCATTCCGAATAATTATGCGCAAGTTCTTGTCAATCAGAAATTATATATTTTTGTTTTTAATTTAAAAAAATAATAATATTCCCTACACCCATTATTAAAGTAAACGCGATTTAGGTAACATATTGGTTTAAATTTGGAAAGGATAACTAGGTAACTAGCTTAGTAAAATAATAGGACTTTTTTAAGACCTACTCGTCCAAGAAACTTCATTCATTTTATTTTATTTTATTCTACATCATATTCTCCTTAATTTGGTACCCATAATTTAACTAAATAATTTTTTGCATTAATCAAATCGTTGATGTTTCAAAGTTCTATATAAGATAAACCTGACGCCAGAGAGAAAACCTAAAAACGCAATTTAACTATCACTGAACCTCAGTTACGTGAAGGTTGCAGAGGTTGCTCCCTTTACCTTTTCAGTGGGATAATTAAGCAATTCAGGCTTTATATTGAAATTAGTATAATTTGGAAATATTTTTCAAAAATTGCCGCTGTATAAATGCGTTTTATAGCCATTTGAAAAAAACTGTATTCAAACATTTTTAATAAAACTAGAAGTTAAAAAATTAACCTTTAAAGCCCTTCGGCCGTGAAGGGTTAAAATATTGTCTTTAAAAAAATTTTAGGAAATCATATGACAGTATATAAAAAAACCCACTAGTTTAACATCTACTTATTTAGACATAATAATTTTTGCCCAGAAAAACAGGTATTTGGACCATAAATGACAGGGTGTAATTATTCGGTTCCTTTTGGGCTTTTTACAAGTAGAAAAAATTGCGCTCTTATGTATGTGAAGAAGTGTTTTTAGTGTGATAAAGAATTTTTTTAAATTCATTATGAACTTACTTTTTAAATGTAAAACCTTGAATGCCTATTTACATAGTCGCCAGTTGGGTGTAGGGTGCGGGCGTAGTTTAATTCGAAAGCAGTGGAGCGATATGCATATTATGTAATGTCTAAAGTTCTGGCATCTACATTAATAAATCATGCTAATATTGCTACCAACTACTTCCTAGGTATAATTATTTATGTGTGCTGAAGAGTGAGAAAAGAGAATAGATGCGCAAAATAATTAAATATTTCAAGAAAATAAAAAACATTGAATATTCTAAATTGAAAGTAAGGCAAATCAAAGGTCTTCCTGAAAAAATAAAATAATATTGAAGAGCAAATTAGTAGCAAGTTAAGTTAGTAGTAGGTGAGGGTTGTAAATAGTTTGTGTGTTGGTTTTTCGAAACGGCAGTTTGGTGAAATGTTGACTGGCAAAAGTTTGGTAGCATTTTAATGGAAATTTTTAAACTAATCGTGAGGCTTCAAATTAGCATAAATAATTGCATGAAACTTCTAGGCGTAAACGAAGTTTGTGCTGGCGCTGAGCACGTGAGTGAGAAAGTAATGCACAAAACTAATTGCAAAAATTTGCTCCAAACAAGAAAGAAAGAGGAAGAATAATACATACATACATATTGCACAAACCATATGAAAATATGTATGCAAAATAGAAATAAAAAAAAGGAAAAACAATATACATATGTATGCACACGTGAGACGGCTTTCAAAGCAAAAAATGTATGGCAAGACAGCTGGAGTTGCAACTTGATTGAAAAATTTCTTGCTCAACTAATTTATTGCAAGCAAAAAAGATCGCAAAGCAATAGTTAAAAAATTGTAAGCGTTTAAATTAAAATAGCAATTTTAATTTACATTTTTATTTTAAATCGGCATTTTCGCTGTCCCTGAAATCATATTTAAGCAACTAATTAATTAATTATGTAGCAAATTTTTACTTTCAACTTGAATAAATTTAGCGAATTGTATTAAATCAGAATGAGATAGAGAGCGACAGAGTAAGGAATAAATAATTACAAAAACTAAGAGCGATACGTCATCGCCTGCATTCGAATTGCATATAAAAATATGTAGATAACGAAAGTTTTCAATTTATGTAAATTTACTTATTAGCAATACAAGTTTTTCATATATTAATTAATTTCAATTTAAATGGCTGAATAATCGAACAAAATTAATGGCAAGACAAAATTCTTGCCGACTACTTACAGTTGCGTCAGTTGCCTGTGATTTTTTTGATAATCAATTGCGATGTTGCGGTGGTGAAGAGTGGCAGTGGCAGTGGCAGTGGCAGTGGCGGTGGCGGTGGCAGTGGCAGTGGATATGGTGGTCGTGGTGGAAATATGGTGGCAAATGTGGTGACAGTGATGGTGGTGGTGGTGGTGGTGGTGGTTATGGAGGAGTAGTGATTGGCAAAATGTGATTGTTGCATTGTCGGTGGTTGTGGTGGCAGTTGCGACGACATTCAAGTGTTGTTGTGATGCAATTTGTTTTGTTTATGTATACACATTTTTTTTGTATTGTTTTAGGTAGAATTAGGATTTTCATTTAGTAAATTCAAAGCGTTTCAAATTCCATTCGCATGTTGGTGTGGTGGTGTGACATTTGTTTTTTTTTCATTGCATGTATTGTTGTTGTTGTCAAGTTCAATTTTTCATCACAACAGTGTACATTGCGTTACCCATGTGTGGAAAAGTATCCAAAAGTTATTGACGTGTTTGTAGATTTCAAGTGTTTGCCAATGCAAAAACCATTTTAAGCACAATTTTTGCGAATTTTCATGTTTTTTTTTTTTTTGTTATGTATTCGGGTCGCGTTTGATTTATTTTGTGGCAAGTATGTGATGATAATGTTTTTGAATTTTTTTTTTTTTGATTTCGTGGTTTTGTGACGTTGGCAGTGGAGGTGCGTGTTTTGCAGAAGCAAAAAAAAATGACAAAAAGGCTCTTAAATGAATATAATTTAAATTAAATTCTGTTTTAAAAGCATAAATTTAATTCGAATGCTATGTTAAAGTAGAGCTAAATATGTATAAAACTTAAGTCGCTTAATGAATAATTTTAGAACTAAAATTTTTTTATAAATTTTATGCTTAAAGGTCTTGCCAACTCATACATGTAATTTCCTAATTTTTGTTTTCAATCGAATTGTGAAATAACTCGAAACAATTTTGATGGCAAAAATAAATTATATCAACTCTGAATATCGGTAAATCGGTAAAATGCATGATTTTTTTTTTGTAATTGTTGTTGCTGTTCTTGTTATTACTTACAGAAAGAGTTAGAGCTTACAACTTGTTGTAGACAAACGCAAAACTATAGCACAAGTTGTTGGTAGGTAAGTACATAGTTAAATTAGTAAGTATGTAAGTAAGTTGGAAAATTTTAGGAGTTATTTAAAAGAGCATTCCATAAAGTATTTTAAACAAATTAAAATTAACACTTAAACATTCTAGCATAGATAAAGTGAACATATGTGTTTATTATTGTACGAGTATGTATGTTTTGAAAATGTTTAGTAGCATGAACACGGAATAAATAGTTTTGTTTTTTGTGATAAAAATATGAAACCATAAATAAAGTAAGCACTAAGGCCAATTTCAGCGATCACTTTAAAGGCAGATTGTCTTCACTTTTCACGGATATATATTTGCAAGAGAATTACTACGTCATACACCCAGAAAAAAAATAGCTAAAAATATTTCCCTCAACACATGATTTGGTAAATTTAACTAGACCAAATTACGTGTTGAGAGAAATACATTCAGCTGATTGTTTTCTGCGTGTAGCTTTGAAATTATGCTGCTCAAAGTCACAGCACAGAAGATCTGAGTTTTGTTTTATTGGCACTCAAAAGTTGCAGTGTGTCTTTGCATTACAAAAGCTTTAAGAAAAATCAATTTAAGTTAAAAAAAAAATTATTTTGTACTTTTTTTTAATACGTTAAGTACTTTGTGCCTGCACTTCGAATCACCACCATTCTGCATTCTTCCCTAGCCGTTTAAAGATTTGAAAAGAGTATAAATTCAAAGTATGGTGAAAGCATGACACCCAAATTGGCCCTAGAGTTAGATCACAAACAACAAAAAAAATATAAATAATTAAAATGACCTCAGTAACTGCAAAATAAAATAAATCGGGATACATATTTTCGACATTCAACGGAACAGAAGTTCGAACACAGTAAAGGTCCATGAAGATTCATTCGATAAAAACATATTCTGGAAAAACACTAAAAAGGCTCAGCACACGGACATCAGTCATAGAATTTTTATTAAGTCTAATCAACTTTGGGAAAACTTTGAATATTTTTCCATTCTTAAAATTAAATTTAATTAATAACTTTAACTTTAAAAAATTGTGGCTGAGAAACTACTTAATCAGTGGAAAGTAAATTAATGTAAATTGTAGAATCTTTACTCATGGCTCCAGCTGGCATTGAATATGATGGGGGCGTATATCTTTTAGCTTTTTAGTTGAAATATAATCGCAATACTTAGGGAAATGGGCAGTGAAAAGGTGAAGAGGCCAGAGTATTTAATAGGCAAACTGCACTTAAGGCATTAGCCAACCCTTCAATGAAATGGAAGACTTTATTGTACACAGTTAAAAGTGAGAGAATTGTATAAAGGTGTCTCAAATAAGATAAACCTGTTGAATCCTCTGAACTTAAAGTTTCAGAAAATTTAGATTTTGCCAGGCTTAGCAGTATTAATTTGCTAAAAATTGAGTTATATGATTTGTGTGTTTTCATAGTTAGTTCTTCCTTTTCGCTTTTTGCGACTGACTTATTTCCAGATCCTATACGTATACAGGGAATATTGCATTCGATAAAGTCGCCAAATGTATATCTATGGTGTGCAAGCCTCTATCAGGCATATCCTGGGAATACACAGCAAGGATGCTGACATTGATGTACACCATGGTAGCATAACCAATAATAACATATGGGGTATCAGGATTCAACGTAAAGGTCATTCTTGTACCCGACCTACAGCATCTCACAGGTCACTTTATTATGGAGAGACACGTACTGGCGAGCATATTATAGTGGCATACAGACGGCTCTAAGGTGCTTCAGCATATTGAATCAGGAGTATACGGACCGATTCTTAAGTATGCAGTGCCCTTGGGGACGTTCCCTTGCGTCCTACAAGTGGAAGTTTGAGAAATTAGTCCGAGTTATAGTTAGGCGGCACTTTTACCTCTGTCATCCTTCGGGGTCAAATCCTCATTGGTTTTGGCGTGTATTGGGAAGTTTAATGTCCTGGCTAAGAAAAATGCTATCTAACTGATACGGGTACCAGAAAGTGTTGGCAAAATGTTAATCTGATTTAGGATCAAAAATTAGCGATTAAAATGTTAATCGCGATTAACGATTAAAATTAACTAATCGTAATCATCTGCACGATTAATGATTATTTTTTTTTTTAACCTTTAATCGTCGGTTGTGGTTACGATTAATTAATTTTAATCATTAATCAATAATCCGATTAAAAATAAAATCTGATTAAGTGCTCTAGTTTGTCCGAATTTGAAACAAAACAACAGTTATAGTTATTCTTTTTTGTTTCACGCTTATAAAAACACACAATATATAAAAAAAAAATATTATTATATTTATTAGTAATATATAAGCAGGGAATTAATGAAAACGCACACCAAATTGCTTAGATTGATAAGGAAAACCGACTTCGCCATACCCGGTTAACTGACCTTGTGTGCACAGGAAAATTCCAGCGTAAATTAATTAATCACCAAACCTACTTAATCAAATTAAAGGATAACGATTAAAAATTAATTTTTTTAATCGCGCTTATGATAAGCTGGTTAATCAGATTAAAATTAATCACGATTAACTGTAATAGGATTGAATTCAATCGAATTAACCAGTTGATTAAAAAATCAATCGATTAGTGGCAACACTAGTACCAGGGCAGATGGAAGTCGGGGAAATGAGGAAACTGATCACTCATCCAGAAGGGCTGGTGCCTCGACCACGACAAAGGAGGTGCCCAGAACTGCGACGGTTTCTTCTCAGCTTGAAAAGGTTGGCCACATACCTTAATTGTAGCAATAGTCATAAAACTGAAAAGAAAATACCAAACTGGTGAAACTGCATTGGCGACACACCTTGGTTACGAGCTTACCAGGGAGGGATAATCTAAAATGATACAGATTTCTCATAAACGTTCCCAAGTTGAGGCCAAGAATTATTACAGTTTTTTTGACTGCTCATTGTAGCCATTTCTACAAGCTAGGGATTTGGTCAAGCGATCTAATCGTATATGTAGAGAAGCAAACAACTTTCTCGTTAAAACTTAAACGAATTTGTACGACGCCTTGGAGACTTATCTAGTTAAAGCAATTATTCAGGAAGGAAGGCTACGGTTGTAAGCAGAGGAGCGTATGAACATATATACATATTAAAATATCTTTACTTTATAATTCCTGTGTTCGTAATTACTTAGGGTATTGGAGAGAAGCAATTTCGTTAGTAGTTACATTCGATTAGTATGTAATTATTTACATACTCGCCTAAAGTAAACAAAGTACAATTTCCTACTACTTAAATAATAAATTGCATGGTATCGCAGCTACACACGAAAGTAACGAGTATTAGTCAAGCTTACGGTTAGTGGTAATTTTAGCCTTTTAGTTTAGCTACAGAGCCTACCAGCCTGCGCGACTGTCATAAATTACTTTAAACTAAAGAGAAAAAAAAAAAACCAAAAAAATCGCACGTACAATTGGAAAATGCCTACCAATACAAAAAGCGTTGGTAAAGGGTTTAAACAAAACAATAAAATATCATATTTCGACGTCTGAAAGGAAGATCAACCTATCTCGCCAGCCGCTTATCTCAGACAATTTTTCAACAACGCCTTATTTCAGAATTTCCTTGAAGAACGCCTTATTTTAGAATTTGATTGAAAAACGCCCTATCTCAGCACAATTTTCATGTATTTTCGATTGAGATCGTTCTTCAACCAAATTCTGAGATATAGCGTTTTTCATTAAAATTATGAATTGGGACGTTCTTCAATCAAATTCGGAAAAAGGGCGTTCTGAGAAAGGGTGTTTTCAAACTGGCTGCCGAGATACCTATGTAGGTCGATCTTCCACTCAGGCATCGATTTATGAAATTACAATAAAACATTATTAAACACAAATGTTTTCCAACAAATGTCAACAACAAAAACACACATAAAATTTTACAAATAGGAAAACAACTTTATGATTATTGTAGTAAGTATTAGTGTAATAAGTGTTTTGTACTTACATCGTGCTGGTGTTGTAATTGTAGTAGTTGTTGTAGTAGGTAAGTAGTAGATGAGTTTTTGTAGATTTGTTTTATTATTAGCAGTATTTTTTTTCAATTCATTTTTTTTTTTTAATGTTGTTGTGATTGCGAATGTTGGTAATTTTTTAACAAATTTTTGTTTGATTTGATTTATGTTTTCGGTTGATGAAAGAGA